CCGGGTAATACAGGTGTCAGTCACACAGGGGAGGGAGACCTCGGGTAATACAAGTGTCAGTCACACAAGGAGATGAAGACATTACGTGTGAGAGGCAGAATGAAAATAGCTGGAAGGGCAGATAGAAGAGAAGCAGAGGGATAAATACCTGGAGGGGCAGATAGAGGAAAGGCAGGGGGTAATTAGCTTGAGGGGCAGATAGAGGAGTGACGACGGGAATAAAAAGCTGGAGGGGTAGATAGAGGAGAGGCAGAGGGATAAATTGTTGGAGGGGCAGATAGATGAGAGGCAGGAAGAATAAAAAGCTGGAGGGGCAGTTGGAGGAGAGGCACCGGGGGATAAGTAGCTGGAAGGGCAGGGGGAGGAGAGGCAGGGGGAATAAATAGCTGGGGGAACAGAAAGAGGAGAGGCTGTGGTAGAACTTACCACCTATTAGTGTTTTTCCCCAAATTTAGTTTATTTTACCCATTTTTTTCTGTTCGGGAGTACTTCATACAAACAAAATTATTAGTCTCCCGAACGAGGACCACCCCTGTACCCCATTAGAACGTTCACACCAGCAACTTAAGTGCGAAACCGCAAGGGAAGTAATTAATGAATGTTTCCCCTGGATGTCCGCCATTTCGTGTGACCGAACACACGTGGCACACAAAAGAATGGTGACCATCTTGTCTCCCGAATGTGGGCTGCGGTACTTGGTCGTCGAGTGCCTGGAACTCTTTTCGGCTAGGCACTCGCACGAACACTGGTAAAACTTAGACCGCTGCCCGTTCTATTTTCCACTCACCTATCCGAACAACGTTCGGGAGATATGAACTACCGAACAGGGGGAGTATTCGTATCCTGAAATGAAGATATTCCCTTGCTTGGTGTTCGCAGAGGAACCCAACGAACAGAGACTGGCCTGGGCACCTATTTTTATGGTACTGTTTTGGGCTAGCGCCTCGTGTCTGGCCAGTCAAAATTTCACCTCAATGGCACTCCCGTTTCACCAAACCAATCTGAGTGATATTTGAATATGTTATACACTCAGATCAGGGCTATCCAGGAATGTACTTTTTGTGGGGTTCCTGAGTATGGTGGGGACACTTTTGGGGCACTGTATATTTTGTATGGATTTTCTGTACCTGAGAGATAATTGGTGTGGCGGACCGCCTGGCACCCCGACTGGGTGTCTCCGCCAATCAATGCTTCCTAGCAACACCGAGTACTTCCAGCACTCCACCCCACATACAGTGGTACAGCTTGGCTCAACCCACCCTGGACCCTAGACCAGGATCCAGTGGGTGAACCTCTCCTATGCCAGAGAGTATAGCAGGAACAGCTCTTACAAGAGCTAGTGATTATAGCACTCTAAGCAGAAGAGAGACAGCTGTATAGCTTTCTCCCACAAACATGAGACGAGGCTCTATGCTGTGGGACAACTGTTTTTAATGGGGCCACACACAGCCTTTTATGACAATCCTCATGCAAGAGGCACTCCGCCCTGAACCTGGTGGAAGCCTGCAACAAAATTACACAAACCAATGACATTGGCCCCCAGGTCCAGGACACTCCCACACATAACATACAATCCCTCCCTTATGCCTGAGAGATAATGGAGTCAGATACTAACTCAATTATCTCCAGGCACAAAAAAAACACAATTTTCCACAACAACCCGAAAGTACCTCCTGTAGCGGAGGCATTGGGCTGTCCTCAAAACTATGTATAAGCAAACACAGTGTCTCCATAAATGGGATTCAGTGAGTATCCAAATTATGGAAACCCCTGAGACCAGTTTCAAGCAAACACAACGCAAGCATGTTAATAAATTTGCTTGCGCTGTGAACAAATACAGGGCCCTTTTCTCATTCCCTGGAAGAATGGGGGATGACAAAACACACCCTATCTGGCCCCGCCCCCACGCCCTTTTCAGTGGGCCGCTGTGAATAAAAAATGCCCGGGCCGAATTTTTTCCCCAGTCCGGCCCTGGATGTTGGGATATTGTTGGATTGTCTTGCTTGCTGGAATTATTGCCTTGTGGATTTTTAACACTTGTTCCTGAGCCTCACTGGGATCTCAAGTGGAGACAACCTGTGGAATAATCGGCTCTCCGCTACACCTCCAAAACCCTGATAGCCCTGATCTGGGTGACCAACAGATTCAAAAATCACCCAAGTCTGTTCAGAAATTTCCTGGAAGTCAAAGTTTGACCGACTGCACGCATGGTCCCATGCCCAAAACAGTTCCATAGAATCGCGGCTAAGTGCCGCTGGGGACCGACCGGGAACCGTGAAGTCTTCATGCCGAAAATAGTTCCAGGGCATTCACGGCTAAGTCCCCCTGAAGTCTATTCGTGGTTTTAGTCCATGCGAACGGCAGTCAGGGAGCTAGCGTTCGGTTCTATGCACACAAATGGAAAGTGCCGAACCAGGGGGAATAAAATATGGATCTTTGCAGTCGCTGACCTGGCCCATAGTCTTTAGGCAGGAGGCTGGCAAGCAGGCCCTTCCAAAAGCCTGTGACTAGGTTCGGTTCGCCACAATTGGATTCAAGGTTTCTCACACGCAATTATCGCTCTGGCACAGAGGATCTTGGGACTGAAACCGCTGTTTTATTGTGTTGGAGACCCCATGTAGGGATCTGTGCATAAAAGCCGTGCGTGGCCTGACTCATTACAATGTTTCATCTGGTTACTGGGGGAATGGATGTCTGTTGGTTTTTAATGGTTCCAGAGTGACTGAAGCAGAGGTAACCAACCGCTACAGAGGCAGAGTGGATAACTAGCAGGAGGAGCAAATAGAGGAGATGCACGGGGTAAATAGCTAGAGGAGCGGCAGGGGGTTAAATAGTGGGATGGGGTAAAGGTTCATATAGTAATGTATTTAAAAGGACAGGATAACAATGTTGATGTTGTTCTGTGGCTTTTAAACAACATATGTGTACAGGGCCGCCACCAGAAATTTTGGGGTCCCTAACTGAGCTCAGGGTCTCAGGACTCTCCAAGACCGCCCACAGGGATCGCCTCCAAATCCCGCCCACAGGAATACACACATATCACAAACACACACACATACTAACAGACTCACATACCGATACGCATACATACTGACACACACATACTGAGACATACACACATATACAGACACACAGGCGTACATAGTGACAGACACATACTAACATACAGACACACATGCATAAGGACATATAGACACATTCATAATGACATACAGACAGACGCATACAGACACTGACATCTATACATACATACACAGACATCCATACACTGACATTCATACACACATAATGACAGACATACATATATACATAGACATACATACATACATACACACACACACAGCTCATTTTCCAGCCACCCTCCTGTTTCTTACCTTGTCTTTGCAGGAGGGTGGCTGGGGCTGATGGAAGTAGTCGGCATGGCTCTCCCTCTTCAATGCCGGGCGCGCGCTCCTCCTGCGCGGAAGTGACCACTTCCTCCCAGCAGCACTTGCTGCGGTTGCTTTTATTTTTGTTTTTTAAAGGGGCCCGGTCGTGCTATACCACGGCCACAGCGCTGACCGGGCCCCTGAAGATATGGGGCCCATCATGTGGCCCTAAGTGCATGGGCCACCCGATAGGCTCCATCAGCGTGCGGGCCCCGGTGCAACTGCACCGGCGGCAGTTCCACCACTACACGTGGGGCCCGGGCGGCCGCGACAAAGGTTATAGTTGTCAACCCCTGATGGCTGCTCTGTATGTGTACAATATTTGGCATATTCCTAGGGCATTTCTGTAAATAGAAAACAAAGATGGCATCTGGAGATGTGTAGCAGTGACTCCTTTCTACGTGGGTGACTGGTTGTGTAGTTAATGCATAAACAGTTCTAAAGTAATATGCCTTTCTTGGCTAATCATAGCAGCATCACTTATGGGTAGCTCCATCCTCATGACTAGAACAGGACAGGAACTAGAATTCAAATGAGACCAAGTGTATAAAGGGTCCTTCCTTCCTTCACACACCAGTCAATTGTCAAACTAACTTAGGAAGTGAACATGATGCCACCATGAATAACAGCCAAGAAAAGAAAATTACAGTAAGTAAGTTGTAACAGTCTTGTTTCTTTTTTCAGACAGGATATTTCCTAATGTTTTACTTTTATTTTTAGCCACCTTACCATGTGTACCATGGGTCTCCCAGACAAAGTTCAGCCTCTCTTTGTTCTGAAGACCCCAGCAAACAGCCTGTTTGTTTATAGGAATAACTGAGGTATGTTTAAAATTAGATATTTTGAACTGCTACAAGGTAAGGAATATGATAGATATTCCATCTGAAAGAGCTACCAACCCATATTCTTTTCCACGTCTTCAAGAGGTAGAGGATTGTGCACTTCATCGAAAAGTTTATGAAGGTACGCAGGTCCAAGAAGGGGTCATGGAGGAAGGCTGAATTTCTTTTACCCCAACTGCACCAAGACTATCTCAGACACATGGGTTTTGTCCATCTTAAAAGAAGGCTACAGACAGCAATTCTCAAAATTCCCAACCGCAAGTCTATTCTTACCATCAATGGTATCTACTCCTGCAAAACAAGCTAGGAGTCAGATTCTTTCAAAACGTGTGGAGCAAAGGGTTAAAGAACTCGTCCCTCCAAACGAGAGATTCTTAGGAAGATACTCAAAGAGTATTCCTGGCCCCAAAACTAAACAAGTGGAGACATTATAGATCTCAAGAAACTCCAGAATTTATATTTCAAAAAGTAATTTTATTATATTCTATCAAACATTTCGTGGATTACATCTGTAAGAAAAATCTATTCACAGGGCATAAAAAGTCCCTCCTTTATCACCCAACGAGTGTCTATGTTACATTCGTTCCTTTTTTACCAAATTGAATAGGTTCTTACCTTGTTACGTGCTCCTTTCAATATAGGCTTTTTTAGTATGCGGGCCGGTTCAGTTTGTTGCATTTTATCAGCTGTTTGTGCAAAAATGGCGCAAATGCATTGGTGTCCTGTTCTCACGAACGCACATACGTTTGGTTATTTAATGATAGTACTCCTTTGCATCAGTCTAGTAAGTCACTAGCTGAGATAATTCCAAGTGCGATTCGCTTCTTTTCGGTTTTATTTGAGTTAAAATTCTCAAGAATTATTCTTTTGTGACTGCCTAATTTATAATAAATTTCCACTCTACCATAATTGTATCACAGGCAGAGGGGAGGGACAGTGTGCTATATGTGGGAGCGTCAGGCATTATTACATTGATTCTATTGGTCTGTACAATTTGTGTTCCTGTGCCCCATTAGGTCCAGTGGGTGTTCCTCTGGCCTAAAAAGTTGTATAAAAGCCAACCTGAACCATTAAAGCTCAGATCATCTTGCACCTTCATGAAGTTTTGGCTCATGCCTGGGGGATTGGTATATCACAATACTCCCCTGAGTATAATCACTAAGATCTTGTTCCTGCTACGCTTTCTGAGCTAGGAGAGGTCTACCCACTGGAAGCTGGATCCTGCTCTTGGGTCCAGGGTGGGTGGAGGACGGCGAGACCCCAACCAAGCTGTGGTGGTTCGTGGGGTTTACGTTGTTCCAGTACAGTGCTTATGGTACTCACCAGTACTAGGAAACAGCGATTGATGGAGGTACCCAGTCGGGGTGCCAGGCGGTCCGTCACAATAGATATAAACACAATCTAGAAACCCTGGAAGTGGCATTTCCCTGTTAAATAGTGTAGATAACAGGACATCTGATTCTTTGCAAATTTTTTTTTATCAAAGGGAAAGAAGAAAACCGAGACACCAGGAATTGTTTGACAATTTTTATTTGCTGTCGGCATTGGTTTTCACTCTCAACATCCTCACAATGATTGGACGAAGCTGCAGACATAGCGCATGGGCTGCACTGAAAAAAAATCACTGCACTCCGTAACGCCAGCACCGCGCCGGCAGCCATGATTGTGGAAGGCAACATTGGATTGGAGATTTTCTTATTAAATCCATTCTTTTGGTGTAGAATTTAGACTATTAAGTCAAAGCCCAATTCCAATGTCAGAGAAAAAAAAAACTAAATAAAGATTTCAATGTCGATGTTCTGCCAAATCGATAACAAAAAGTCAAAGATTAGGAGACAAAAACCAGGTGGCCTTTGCAATGATTTGTATCCTAGCAGTAGAACGGACCCCAGATCCCCACACTCACTTAAAACAGTAATAGACTCACAGGATTGTAATAAAATTCCCTTTTTCACAATCACGATAAAAGTAATATTTTAATATGCGTGCAGATAAGCAGCAATGCGGAGAGAATCAGAAGATGATTGGTTTCGTTATGTTTAGACGTGGCAATCTGGTCAAATCTCACTTACTACGCAATTTGGCAATTTAGGAAACACAACATAATAAAAATATATAATAAAATAACAGATGTGCAAAAATTTGGGACATGCCCAATAAACATTTTGCGGAATGCCCGCCATTGCACGATTATATATACACATAATCTCATATACATCTAAAAATGTACAGACATTCAACACACACAAAAACAAAAAGAGACCACAATAACTCTCCTCAAACAGTTTCCAAAGGTCCTTATATTGGGGGGAATATGAGAGACAATAGAGCAATTGCTTATAATGGCACATTTCCCATAATGAATTATAGCGACCGGTTTAGTGTAATTACAATAAGCAGCAATGTTAAGGTTTTTATAATAATATAGAAAACTGAGATAAGGGTGTTTGCCTATTCGTATAGCTGCTTTTTCCTCTAAATCCGTATAAATATTCACAGCCAGAACATACACGCTTCCAGCTAAATAAATTAACGCAGAGGAGTAATAAACGTGGAGGCTCAACGTAATGAGTGTTTTGGTGGGAAAGGGACCCGCCGGAGCCAAATAACGCTAAACATCCTCCAGTTCATATACTGCACCCAGATATCGCATACACACACTGCACAGATTTACACAAACTCATATACAGACACAATAAGGATACAATCTCTCTGATCGACAAGCAAAATACTCGGGATTAAAAAGGATTTAAAAAAAAAAAAAAAAAAAGGATCTAAAACAAGTTCAATGAAAATAGCACAATTCCAAGTTAGGGTGAAAATGGCCTCTGAAGGTGTGAGCGCACTCTAATAGCTTTACTGCAAGGCGTTCTATTAGAATTCATTCCGCTGTACAATACAGGTTTCATTTCAGCTGAGATTACAAGGACTGCATTCTGAATCACTGCCGTTATGGACGATGCTTAGACAAGTCGAAAAGTAAAATATAAAGCATACTACAGAAGTTTAACATAAAATCAGAGTGTCTGCAGAATAAGGAGGTTAATTACATGTATACCAAAAAAACTGCTAAAACCACCTCGCAGACAGGCAACATCTGGCTGTATTTCTCGGTGGTCTGTGATTAGCTGTGGAGTCTCACTTAATAATGGATCTGACAGGTTTGAATTAAATGGCATTTGACTCAGATGTAACAAAGTGTAATAATAATTATTATAATACACTGCGCTCTAAGTGGACCCACACTTGGTCTATGGCGGCCATATTCAAACAATGTACATAGAGGCATTAAGGACTCTGCTAAAGCTGTGGGGGAAGAGGGTGTGCTCATGCCTGTAAGCGAGAGCTGGGGAAGGCAATGTGTTTTAAAGCGGGGGCTGTTTGCATTAGAGTTGGGGTTTTTGGCTCTATGTATTACAGAGTGGGGGCTGTATTTGTAAGAGCAGGGGTGTTGTTGGCTGTATGGTGGTGGTGGTGGGGGGGCATTATGCGTTACAGCAGGGGGCTACCCATGTAGTCATTTAGTGATGGTAAGTAAATGGCCAGTATTCTCATGTGAACCTCTATGCTCTCCCCAGACTGTGATCTCTTGAAAATATAATTTGGCTTTTGACCCCTGCAAAGTAGAAATAACATCAAATAGGAAAATGGATTGTAGTAAATAAACTACCTTAACACACTAACAAACACTAAGACACCCAACAGAATACATGGCTGCCTAAGAAATCAAAAGATTTACAAATAAAATGATAAAAGGTCTGAAGGGGAGAGGACAGGGAGGGGTTAAAACCAATTACTCCAGAGGAGGCAGTTAAAAATCATTGGTCATTTCAGCCCTGACGTAGTCAGTGGGCTAGGACCACTCTCACCCTAAATTCTACAATGGACGAGGACCACGCAATTTTACTCCCATTACTGGGCAAGCGTCCACTCCGTTTTAATCCTGCTAATTGCCAGTAGATTGTTTTGGGGTCATCCAAGAACCCCAAATGTGTACGCAATGCTTGGACAAGATGTGGTACAGTATGTGTGAGAGATTGTATTTAAATATATATATCTACAAGTACATACAGATATATACATACACAAAAACTGCTTCATCCAGACAATTCAACACATTCCTGCTCAAATAAGTTAAAAACCCACTTATAATCCCACAAGGTTCCTCTAATGTCTTAAGAAGGAACCCTGTAAAAAGACCCGGGTGAAGGCAGTGAGTGGGACAATCAACGAGACACTAAACAGGGGTGCAGAAAGAGGGAGCCCCAAGTATCTGTCCATCATTTAGGGGTCAGACCCCCTAGTTTGAATGGTGGACTCTGGGACCATAAAATCAAGTTTATTTTCCTCACAAAGTCTGAAGGAAAAAATAAGGATCCAAAATAAGGATCAGCAGTTAAGAGGTATTCCTCCTTTGACCGACTCCATAAAAATCTAGAAAAGCCAACGGACGATAATTGATCCACCTTCCATGGTTAATGGTTTTTCTTAGAAAACCCATGAAAAGTGCCGTCTCCAACAAGTCTGTACATTCCGAAGAACTCAAGTCAATGACTGCCCAGACTCTACAGGGCACCTTTCATCTATAGGAGATACAAGGAATGGCTGGATTCCATTCCCCTGAGTGTGTTTAGGGACCATAGATGGAGGAGGATTGTGTCACTCTTCAGTGTCTGCCAGCAGATATGGGGAGGTGACTGCATGTTCCTGGGCTATGGCTGCCAGTTCTTTCATGAATTCAGTAAATATTACCGAACAGTACACGGCATTCTTCACTCGCAGGGCCTCGTTCTGTTTTTCAGCTGAACTCTTAAAAATGGAGGTTCCTGACAGAGCGTGGAGAACTTGCCCATCTCGCACATGCTGAAACGCCATCTGGGCAGCTTGCCGGGCACGTGTGGGGCTGTTGGTGTGACGGAGAATTAATTCCCCTATGGACGGTTTGCGACTTTTTACTGTGGAAACATAAAAAAGACAGTTCGTTATTGTCAAAAAAAAGGCGGAGGCAGCATGATTTAACACAACATTACATGCAGTCAGCAGTAAAGGTACACTATAACATTAAATATACAAACATGTATTCCTAATGATATAGTGATCTAATAACTAGTTAAGGTACACCCCCCTCCCGTGTGAAGGAGAAAGGAGAGTTTACTTATCTTTTGTCCCTCGTCACAGCTAGCCCACCTATTTGGGCAAGATCACCAATTGTAATGATCTCAGCCAATCCAATCACTATGATCTCAGAAAACTGGAAAGCTAGAGCACATGTGCAGTCTCAGAGTTAAAACAACAGGGGCACCCAAACAACTTCACTGAGACAGGAGATGTGTGTCAGTTGGGGGATGAGGGTAGTCAGCTTTACAGGCAGTATGCGGAAGGGGGGGGGGAGGGGGGAGAGAATAGGTGTGAGTTTAACAAACATCTCACAAGCAGAGCTTCTGTGAGAACAAGCTTCAAAATGCAGAGGTAAGGGGACAGAGCAGAAAGGTGCATACTGCCATGTGTCTCTGGTGGAGAGGGGAATCTGTGCTACAGAACCAGATTATTGGAAACGATGGAGATTAGAGATTACCCAGGGTGTCGGACCGGCGCAGGGCAGGAACCGAGCTCTGGCTCTCACACCAGTCCAGCTTCCCTCGAGCAATCAGGTACTTCTTGGCTTTGAAGAGTAAAGTGGGGAAATCATCCTGAGATGCAGCAAAGGCTTCAATTTTATTCTTCACTGAACCAAGAACCTGTAAGAAGAAGGGAGAATCAAGCACTGAGGACGAACCTGAATCAACTAAAATAAGCAATTGGACAAGAGCCTTGGAACTAGAGGTGACTAATAACCCAATGTTCACTCTGGGCGAGCTCCAGAGATCATGTGTGGAGATAAGAGAAAGACAACCGTCACAGCAACATTTATGGCAAACTGGCCAGACAGAAGACCATCCTCATTGCAAAACACATGCAAGCAGACTTGGCACCTAAAGGACTCTCAGAATGTGAGAAACTACTTTCTACGGTCGTTAAACTGTAGCTAGACAGACTCACGCATACATAAAGTCTTTGCAATCATTAAAGGGTTCCTCCATGCACCATGAGAAATGAAGTGATTTGAAGTGGTTATGGTGTGTGGAGTCTGTATGTGCAGCTTTTCAGTTTCCAGCTGTGGCATTGTTATTAGCCAGCCCGGAGGGGAAAAGCAGCTCTATGGAGAGGTCTAATGTCAATACTGTGCATATTAGGCATCTGTCCCCACTACACGTAGCGTTCAGGTGTCCTCCCTTCCACCCGCTGTCCTCTCTCTCTCTCTGCAAGGGCTGCAGGGAGAACTTGGCTCTGTATATGCTTTATATAGTGGGGCGCATTCCATTAAGGGTTACTCTGACAATGTATTATTTGCTGTGGTAACCCTTTAACTCAGGGCTGTGAAACACAGTCTGCAGATCCCACAAATTTGGTGTGTGGCAATAGAAAGCAGTAATGCCAGTGTAGAATTTGTGAGTGACTGAGCTCCATCGGGTTGGCTGTGGGACTCTGGAGGGCTCTTACATTAGGGGCACAGGTTGGTCCCTGTCGCGGATCGGGCGCCTGTCACAGTGTTAGTTTCTCCCTCGACCGGCAGGAGGAAGTTAATTCAGGTCACTTTCTCCCAGCTTGCTGAAAGCCATGCGGTGAGGCAGGAGCAGGCACATACAGACTCCCATCAGCCTTGGCCAGCCAGCTCCCACTGGACCCCAGGGAAGCCACCCTTCTGTACACAAAAGTTAAAGAAACAAGTGGTGATTAATTGCTTATGTGTGTGTACCTGCATGGGTGTATATTTGTAAATGTGTATCTGTGTCAGTGTGTGGGTATATCTGTATATGTACATATATGTGTGTGTATATGCAAAAGTGTTATTGAATACCTGGGTGTTGTGTATTTGAGTGTGTGTGGCAATGGATACATCCCTGCATTCAAATGCCAACACTGTGTGTGATTGCAGGGGTGTATTTGTTTGAAAAAAACTGTACACAAACACATGACTACATTCAAATACCAACAATACACCCCTGCATACAAACACTACATGCAAATACACCCCTGCATACTGACACTACATGCAAATACACCCCTGCATACTGACACTACACCCCCTACAAACAAACACACCCCTGCATACAAACACTTCAAGCAGACATAACCCTGCATTCAAACGCCAACACTGTCTTTGAATGCAGGGGTGTATTTGTTTGAAAAAAAAAAAAAAAACTGTATACAAACACACCACTACATTCAAATACCAACAATCTGCACGCACACACCACTACATTAAAACACCAAAACTACATACAAATACACCCATGCATACAAACACTAACACTACATGCAAACACAAAAACTACACGCAAACATACTCCTGCATTAAAATGTCAACACTACAGACAAAAACACGTATTTATTGTTGGAAAAAATAAATAAATTCCATTTAAGGCATTAGATGAAGGTGTTTGTGCACACTTTATTTCCTGTTTTTTCCATTGTTCTATAGAATTGATTTTCTCACCCTCTCCTGGGTGGTATGTTTTATTCCTCATTCTCGGGTCCTCTACCAGAGGCCTGGGAGTTTGAGGGTTCCATTCAGTATCTTAGCTATTCCTAGAACTGCACTCTTCAGGACAGCAATCTCAGATGTTCCACCTGGAATCTGCTGAAGCCATTCCCCCAACTTGGGAGTCACAGCCCCGAGTGCTCCTATCACAGATGGGACTACTACTGCCTTCACTTTCCACATCCTTTCTAGCTCTTCTTTCAGTCCTTGGTATTTGACTATCTTCTCATGTTCCTTCTTCCTGATGTTATAGTCACTGGGTATTGCCACATCCACCACAACTGCAACTGTTGGTTGGCCAGTACTTGCTGGTCAGTTTAGATCTGAAAATCCCACAGGATCTTGGCCCTATATACAAGAATACATAAAACGGTGCACTTGTAGGTCCTCTTAGTAACACTTGTGTTTAATATAACATTTCTAATACCATCTGTACTTAATCAACGTTTTTCCTTTCTCAAGAATATTGATTATATTATTATTTATAAAGCGTCAACAAGTTCGGTAGTTCAATGGGTGGACTAACAGACAAGTCATTTTAACCAGACGAGTTGGACAGGAACAGAGAGATTGAGGACTGTAGCGGAGCCCTAGCAAGGACTCTCCTCAGCTGGGTACTACAAGATATACTCAGGAATAAGCAACACAATCCAATGGAAAAGCCAAACACTGCTCCCCCGTAACCACAAGCCAGCATACAGTCTGATCCTCTAGGGATCGGCTTAGGGATGGCCGGGTGTGCTCACGGATCATTTTTCCAATTCTGTGTCTCGACAACCAGTCAGCATTTCCATTTTGTTTCCCAGGGGGGTAAGGTATAGTGAAATCAAAAGGCAGCAGCGCTAAACTCTAGCATAGCAGCCCAACGTTGTTTTTCGCCAACCGGTTTAACCAGACCAACGGGTTGTGATGCGTGAGCAAAGAAGGTCTGTCTGTGTATAAATAAGGTTGCAACTTTTACAGTGCCCACACCACGGCCAGGCATTCCTTCTCGATGGCGGTGTAGCTTACTTCTCGAGGTAACAACTTGCGACTGATGTAAGCCACGGGATGTTCTCCGCCATCGGGCCCGACTTGGCTCAGTACTGCTCCCAATTGAAACATAAAAGCGTCTGTATGGACAAGAAAGCGTTTAGTTAGATTGGGGGGCAGCCAAGACAGGGCTTGTTTTTAACTGTTGGAATGCCTGCTCACACGCCGGGGACCAGACTACTTGGCGAGGAAGATTCTTACGGGTCAGGTCGGTAAGGGGTTTGGCCAGGGTGCTATAATTGGGCACAAACTCCCTATAGTACCCTGCAGTCCCTAGGAAAGCCAACACCTGCGTCTTCACTTCGGCCTTGCAGTTGGCCACTGCCTCAATCTTACCTCCTTCCCGGACAAGATTACGGTCTGCCAATGATGTTGGTGGTTATCTGCGTCCGCCTTTAGCAGGTCCGCTTCATGCAGAACTTCCCAATGCTCTACGGCTGATGCAGGGGCGGCATACTGGGCTGGAGGCTCTGCCTGATAGTAGTGGGCTGAGGTTCACGTGGGTGGTGGCCCCAGGCAGATCCATGGCCCCTGGTCTCGGGTCTGGGGGCAATCCCTGCGCATATGCTCAATCTTTCCAAATATTCATCCGCTCGCCTTGCGGCTTCTGTGGTAGCAGTGGGGTTACGGTCTCTCACCCACTCCTGTATATCTGGAGCCAACCCATTAAAAAAATGCTCCAGTAGCACCAACTTTAACAAGTCCTCCATGGTGCTTGCTCTGTGGGCTTTCACCCACCCCAGGGCTGCCTGGTGTAATCGGCAGGCCCATTCGGCACGTTAATTCTTACTGGCTTTTTTCAGTTCTCTGAACCTCCTGCGGTATGCCTCTGGTGTGATGGCATCCCTGGAGAGAATCACTTACTTTACCCGGCCATAATTCCTTATTTCATCTTCTGGAACAGTGCGGTAAGCTTCCGCTGCTCTTCCTGACAGTCTGTTCACCAACAGGGGGACCCAGTCATCAACATCAATTTTGTCTTTCAAAATCTTGGAAGGATGCATCAATATCTTCCTCTGCCTCTACATAGTTTTTAAATGCATTATAGGGTATTTTGGCCTTACCTTCTTTTATCACTAGTCATTACTTGGGTTCTTTTGGGAGTTTGTTGATCCATTTGCCTGAGCACGAACTCCTGGACCTCCAACATGGTTCATGAAATAATGTCTATAGACTGGTTTTCCCCCATAAAAGGGCAGCCGGAATTGTAACTCCCTTTTTGGAACTCTGATGGTTCTCGTTTGTGTCCTGAACTGCTCCGTTCGGGAGCCGAACCGCTATGCATTCGATATTCCGCAATCACTTCAGCAACGAGGGTAGCCTTTTTCTTGCTGCTCGCTGATATCCCTGTTGCCTCTAGGAGATCCTTTAATGTTTTAGAATGGAGTAGTCTATCTCCATCCACGGTCCATCTGGCATTGCTAAATCCACTGGTACTTGTTCCTCTGTGAGCTCTGGATCCCACCGCTGCCAACCAATGTAGCGGAGCCCTAGTCCTAGCAAGGACTCTCCTCCGCTGGGTACTCCAAGATATACACAGGAACAAGCAACACAATCCAATGGAACAGCCAAACACAGTTAGATAACCCTGGAATCAACCATCTCATCCCCAGCAAATGGACGACACTCCACTCTGGAAGTAAAACTGCTTTTTATTGTCACATACACAGTTTTTATGCCATCTCCCATGCAAGGGGTTTCACAGACAGAAAATGTAAGGGTTTCAATCCCAGGAAATGTTGTGCCTGAGAGATAATTACCTCTGTAAACGCCTTCAATTTAATTATGTCTCAAGCACAAAAAATTCCCCAAAATTTCCCGTACCCCAAAAGTCCCCCAACCATACTCAGGAACCCCACAAAAAGTACATTCCCTGATGATCGCCGTTCGCATACCGAACACGAGGCAGTGGCCATCTTGTTGCAAGCGAGGGTTCAGCTGTACTTGGCAGTAAAATCTCCAGAACTGTAAATCGGCAATGGAACTGCACGAATCCCGCTAAGAGGCCGGTTGTCCCATCCGTTCGGCCCAAGATTGTACGAACAGACTTCTATATCAGAACTCTGGCACATCGTTCGTGAGATCTGAGCACGATTCATACATCTTGTGCGCTCAGATCTGAGCTCGATTCATACATCTTGTGCGCTCAGATCTGAGCTATCTGGCGAATGGTCGCATGAACTGTTTTCGTATTAAAATATTAAAGTTATATATTTTTATGTTATTTTCTTATGGGTGTAAAATGTGGTATTTCCATAAGCTTAGAGATAATTAGGTCATTGTAACCGTTAAGGCCAATTATCTCCAAGTTAGGCAGGGACATTTTCAAATGTTGCACTGAGTTTCCATTGGATAAACTAGGTCATGGTCCTGTGTACCATCAAGTCCCGAGGGGGCTGTCCTTTGGTCTGAGAGTTGCATAAATTGACCCGCCTGAGTGCCATTAAAACCAGTTTGTGTTACCCTCAAATCGCAGCCTCGACTCGTTTTGTAGGGAATAGTGTATACTAGTGGTGCCATAGCTAGTGGGATTATTCTACACTTTCAGGAGAATATTGTGGATGCTGATAGGAGCGATGTTCTACCTCTCCAACATCGGGAACCAGGATATCCAAGCGGTCCAACCTACAGCTAGCCCGGAGGTAACCGTAACAGACAACACGCCCACAAACAAGGGGAACAAGCTCCAGGGTAAGACTATTGACTAAGTTTGGTAGTTTGTTCATTTTTAAACTACCGAATTAAACCAAACAAATGAATTCCAGATAATTCCTGAACGGATCTGGGCGAATTTGGATATGTTGGCCACCCAGATCAGTGCCATCAGGGGACGCAACTGAAGGATCCTGTTATCTCTGTAGTACCGATCCTTGCAGCTTCTCCCGAACTCCCAGTAGAATAATAACGAAGTAGTGATTATAGCTCCCAATTCCCCCAAACATGAGTCGAGACTTCATGAAGGGGTAAAACGATCTGATTTATTGATGGCCAAACTCAGCCTTTTATGATGGTGTCCCAGCAAGCAAACTCCCACAGGGGACCTTGTGGAAAACTGTGACAAAATATACAGAACCAATCAGTTTTCAATACAATTATTAAACACACCCACAGTAACAGTGCAACCCCTCCCCTCTATCCCAGAGATAATTAAATTAAGTGGTTAAATAGAACCTAATTATCTCCAGGTAGAGAAAACATGTCCTTTTTACATTTTGACAAAACTGTATTAAAATCCATAACTCATATTTGGCTGAACGTAGTCTCCATGTTCCACATACCCCCAGATAGCTTGGATCTGAGCGCACAATATAGACGAATAGCGCTCAGATCCCACGAACACAGTTCTCAATATCGTCGAGTAAAGTTTTTAGTTCACCGGTTGTTTGGGAGATTGAATCCTGCAGCTACCTGGGGTCGGTCTAGCTCGTAGAATAGTAAAGTCCTGAACGGTAAAGTGGAGTTATTAACTGAATGGATGGGAATTTGGTGCACTTCAGCGGTGTGCGGCTAAATAAGTGTCCAAAAACAGTTCCATCTACCGCTGAGCGTTCCACGATTTAAAAACGGTGACCGCCACGTGTTCGGCAACCGAACGCGAACCACCAAGCCTTTCATCAATTACCTTGCGGTTAACTGCAAGGTCTGGGTGGTAAATGAGCTGCACACGACCCTGGTGGGAGTTCGGGTGGTTCGGGAGTTTGTTCTGCTCTTTTACAAATACACGAAATAGCCAAATACACAAATATTTAGACGAAATGCGGTTTCCCTGAGTCTGTGACAAAGGGATTTTGTCACACAGCTCCCCCTTAGTCCCATGGAATACCCACTTAGATCCTGACGGGTCGGCTAGGGGATGTCCGGATGACCGTGTTATTTTTCCAGTTCAGTCTGTCGTGATAAGCCATCAGCGTTGGCGTTCTGCTTCCCGGGGCGATACTGCATCGTGAAATTATAGGGTTGTAGTGCCAAGCTCCATCTGTTAAGCAAAATCAGAGGGTTGTGTTCTGTCATTACTGTGAAGGAACGTCCATAATGGTAAGGTTGCAATTTCTTAAGTGCCCAAACTAATGCCAGACACTCTTTTTCAACGGTGGCATAGCTGACTTTGCGTGGTAATAGTTTCCTGCTCAGATATGCCACCGGGTAGTCCATGCCATCGTCCCCAACCTGGCTTAATACCGCTACCAGTCCAAATATTGAGGCATCTGTGTGAACGAGAAACCTTTTAGTATGATCAGGTGCCGCCAACACAGGAGATGCACTTAACGCAGCTTTGAGTTTCTGGAAAAGCCTCCTCGCACTCAGGGGACCAGACTACTTGTCGGGACAGGGACTTTTTAGTGAGGTCAGTCAGGGGTTTTGGTCAGAGCACTGTATTCAGATACGAATTTTCTATAATAACAAGCGGTGCTTAGGAACGCCATAACCGGTGTCTTAGTCCGGGGTTGGGGCCAGTGTGTGATGGCCTCAATTTTTGCGGGTAGCATAGTCCACCACAGTAAGAATGTATTTCTTACCGGATGGACTGGGTTTACTGAGTGGCCCGACTAAATCTACGGCCACCTGGAAAAACGGTTCCTCTATTATGCCCGGGGGTGGTCTCCCCTCTTTCCCACCTTTTGGCATACCTCGCAGGTCTGACAGTAATCCTGCAACTCCCTAGTGACTCTCGGACAGAAGAACGGTCTGGGTGGTAAATGAGCTGCACACGACCCTGGTGGGAGGTCGGGTGGTTGGGGAGTTTGTTCGGCTCCTTTACAAATACACAAAATAGCCAAACACACAAATATTTAGACGAAATGCGGTTTCCCTGAGTCTTTCCAAACAGGAATTTCGTCACAGCAACTTTTGTGGAATTTTTATGCATTTTTAGGCTACGTTTGGGGTGTTTTAGAAACGTATGTTTTTTCTGTGCTTGGAGATATTTGGATTAGATTAGTACAGTTCCTGATCCAAAAATCTCCCAGGCACAGATGAGGGATTAAGTATACTGGAGAGTGTGGCTGTAGATCTACATATAAAAACATATATATGTTCTGTTTTTGTACCATATAGAAAGGAATATAATCTGGGATATTCCTGGAGAAGACTATCATCACGATATATCAAGATAAGTGTTCTTCCAGCACATTATTTATCTGTATAAGGTGTTGGATGTGTTTGTTTTGTTTAACAGAGGAGAGATTATCTGATTACGTATGGGAGTGTCCTGGATCTGAGAGCCCATGTAACGGTGTATTTGTTTCTTCTGTGGTTTACTCTCAGGTCCAGGGGTAGTGCACCTTGCATGGGGACATGCATATAAGGCCAGTTGTGGCTGCCATTAAAGGCATTCCAGATTGTATTCCCAGAACTATGTATTGTCTGGTTACTGGGAGGGGAAAGGGCTACTCCTTAAAAAAAACAAAACACACTTGTTCCAGTGTGGAGGATTCAACGGGGAAAGTCCTTGTAAGGACTAGAGCTCCCAGGACTGAGTGTCATCCAGTGCCTAGGGGGTGTCTAGAGCGAATTCCCCATTTGGCTCCAGGAGAAAGCGGTTCCAGGGCCACAGTCAAGCCACGGCGACTGTGGGCAGAAATGCTGCAGTTTGTTCCCTGTTCCAGCTAGGAAGCGGTCCTTGGCGGAGGTACAGGGAGCTCCGCTACACTGACTAACTACTGGTTTATAATGACTCTCTATGACTGGTCATGGAGCAGTATACCAGGTTCTATATTAAACAGATTAAGTGACCTGAAACTAAATGACATATGCTAATATGACCCTCAGAGTCAGTTCTGTCCATTTGTGGTTGGAGGTTACTGGCGAGAGTGCCAGTTGGTGATATGAGTGAGTGAGCAGAATAAAAATCTAAATCAAATCAGCATTAGTGTGCCCACACTGTGCCTTCAAAGCACTATAATAAATATGGGGCCAGTCAGAAGTGATGGATAATTATCTGCGTGTAATGCTCAGCATTCAGGAAACCATTCATTTTACAAAATTTGTAGAAATGTCACCCGAAATGTGCAACAATGCTTCATTGTTGCCGGCAGACACGCATTTATATTAAGCTCTCCAGTCCCACAGCGAATACACTGCTTTCTGCTATGGCCAAAGATTCTTGTTGACTTCACAGTCCAGAGGACCTGCTGCCATTTTCTGCACCCCAATTTTGTTTTTCAGTTGTATGGATTTTTGGCCACAAGTCTATGAAGACCACTGTAACGGAGCTTCCTGTACCCCAGTTGGGTACCTCCACCGACGGATGCTCTTCGTGCTTACCGAGGGCTCCAAGCACTTGTCCAGACACCATAAGTACTGCAGACCCCACGAACTGCAGCAGCTTGTCTCGCCGTCTCCTACCAACCCTGGACCTACGACAAGGCTCCAGGTTCCAGTGGGTAAGCATAGCAGGAACAGCTGTTATAAGAGCTGATTATCCAAGGGAGTATGATGATCACAGCAATCCCTTGTAGTGATATAGCAATTCCCCCCCAATAGGAGACCATAAATGTTACATCCCCTGACAGCTCTGATCTGGGTGAACAACATATTCAAAAACCACCCAGATCAGATAAGGGGTTCAGAAATTTTATGGAAGTCATTTTTGCCCAGGCGAACCAAGGATTTTATGCCCAAAACAGTTCCATAGATTTGTGGCTAATTGCCGCTGGAGGACAGACCGGGAACCGCAAGGTTTTCATGCCGAAAATAGTTCCAGTGAATTCGTGGCTAAGTACCCCTGAAGTTTATTCACGGTTTTAGCCCATACAAACAAGATGGCCGCCACCACCACGTGTTCAAATGTCGAATGGCGGCCACTTTGACTGTTCGGGAGTTCGAAGAACACAGTTTAATTGACATGAGCGTTACTATGAGTGCACCCTTTTCTTTATTCTTATATTTTTAACAAAAGTTGCACCAAAGCAGAATTTAAGATCTACTGGAAGGGAGAGGAGAAAGCATAGCCACAAATAGGGTCTCGGCCAAAACAAATTAAAGGGGCCATAGTCACAGGGCAAAAGGCTGGCAAGTAGTCCTCTATCTAGGACTAATATTAAACCGTGCTGATACAATAGAACCAGATTGCTGCCGGCTCAGCCACTGTCTATGAGTTACATGACACTGTCTCCAGTAACCTCCCCTTGTTAGAGTTTGGCATTTCCTCATCCAGTTTTTTTTATGTTTAACCTACATGAAGTTAAGGCGAGTTTCACTTACCTGAACCTGTCTTTCAGTTGTCACTAGAGACAGCGGTAGCTCTGCATTTTTGTCAAATAAGGAAAAAATACTCAAGAGAAAGTAGTCCCTAGTTTGTCCTAATGTATATTTTGACTGAAATTCAAAATCATTATCGCCGCCTGTTTGGCAAGCTCAGCATTATCGCCGCCTGTTTGGCAAGCTCAGCATTATCGCCGCCTGTTTGGCAAGCTCAGCATTATCGCCGCCTGTTTGGCAAGCTCAGCATTATCGCCGCCTGTTTGGCAAGCTCAGCATTATCGCCGCCTGTTTGGCAAGCTCAGCATTATCGCCGCCTGTTTGGCAAGCTCAGCATTATCGCCGCCTGTTTGGCAAGCTCAGCATTATCGCCGCCTGTTTGGCAAGCTCAGCATTATCGCCGCCTGTTTGGCAAGCTCAGCATTATCGCCGCCTGTTTGGCAAGCTCAGCATTATCGCCGCCTGTTTGGCCAGTATCCCTCACTGTGTAAGTGTACCCCTGAATACATGCCTCCAGTATCCCTCACTGTGTAAGTGTAACTTGTTTTGGAGACAATGGGCAGTCACACAAAGTATTGGTTTGATTTTCTTCTGTTTTAATTAGTTTCCATTTTGTTAATTGATGTTAAAAATGATTAGCATTTCTACACTAAAAGCATTTTTACGTTGCCACATTTTTCACTATTTTCACAGTAGTCTATATCTATACATTTCTCTCTCCATGTGGAACTCCAGGTCTAACTGGGCACCTATGCGAGTTCTGTGCATGATAAACATCTGTCGTTTTTTGGTGTGTTTTTTATTCCATTGATTTTCTGTGCACAAAATACTTTGGAGATAGAGTTTGCCTTTAACAATGGAGCCAGATATTCAATAATTGGATAATCAAGAGATAATGTGACTTTTACCAACACCGGGAAATCTGATCAGTAGGAAGTGTGAATGGTAATTAAAGGCCTCTGTGTTTCTGAAATGCTCACAATGTTTGTTCGGGAGACAGAACGATATGGCTGCTAGCGGATGATGCAGCAGGAGCTGAAGAAAGAAGATATCTATGAACACAGGGGAACAGAAGGTAATTATATCCACCTTCTGCTGCACCCCTGACTAGACCCACAGCATATAACAATTTATTAAGAAATAATTAGGGAAAGACCTGGTGCTGGCTTATCAGCCCTTACCTGCACCAGAGACTTGACACTGGGCTGGAAGACCATGTTGGTGTTGAGTAGGAAGGAGCGGAGGAGCGGCTGAGGATGACAAGCAAGCTGAGTGATGATCCCTGTGAGCAGGAAGTTGACATACAGAGAGTTCTGTAGCATGGTTTCCAACTTAGCAAAAAGTACAGCAATGAAAGGACCTGTCGGAGGAGACAAAAAATGGATATGATAAACCGAGAGGAAAATGTCCGGCTATACACATATAAAGAACGGATACAATAAACGGGGGGGCGGGGGAGGAAAGAGAGCGCGCGCGCGAAAGAGAGAGAGAGCGCGTGCGGAAGAGATACAGCTATACACATATAAAGAACTGATACAATATATGCGTATAGCTGGACGTCTCTCTCTCTCCGTTTATTGTATCAGTTCTTTATATGTGTATAGCTGGATGTCTTCCTCTCCATTTATTGTATCAGTTCTTTAAACGGAGAGAGTGTGACGTCCAGCTATACACATATAAAGAACTGATACAATATATGTCTCTGAAACCGCTATGTTTATTAAAAAATGGGTTAACCCTAGCTGGACCTGGCACCCAGACCACTTCATTAAGCTGAAGTGGTCTGGGTGCCTAGAGTGGTCCTTTAACCTCTCACTACAACTCCAAACTGCCTCTGGAAATTACTTTCAGCACAAAAACGAGTTCTCTGGCATTCTGATGAAAGAGTCTGGGGTGTGGGGGATACCAGGTGAACACTACCTATTGGAATGCACAGTACTGTTTGGTGGAGGAGGGATAATGGTCTCTGACTGATTTTAAGGTAACAGGCTTAATTCCAGTGGAAGGCCATTGTAACGGCACCCCCAGGCATAAAAAGGGGTTAAAAGCAGTTTAGTAGATATTCCCTTCCAGAGACACAGGCACAGCTACTGTAGACACCAATCCACCGAACCGGAGAAGCATGTGAATGCTCTCAAAAACGCGAATGTTGTAAGCAGTCGTATAGGAAAAACCATACAAAAGGTTTACACTCCGAGCAGTCGAACTGGAACAGTATACAATAAATCCCCCCCCCAAGAACGAGACAAGGCTCCGTGTTGAGGGTCAAAACAGGAACAGACAGAGCTGTGGGTTTATTGTTCTTATATACACATTCTTACACATTAGTACCACCCACAGGGTTTTTGAAAACAACCAATAAACATGTACAATACACTCAGACACTCCCACACAAAATCCTCCCCTCTGCCTGTGATACAATTACCTTACACAATGGGTAATGTAATTATCACAGACAGAGAAATACAGTTTTTCCACATTATTCATAATTTTAAAAGTATGCATCACATTTACATTTTCAGAATCAGCATACTCTAAATACAAACATACGTCAAAATCATACAAGTTGGTCCATTGGTTCAAAAGATAGATCGTAGTCCTTTGTGACCAAATGAAGCATGGATTTTCTGCCCAAAACTAGTTCCACAGAGTCTTCTATCCTGGAGATAATTGGGAAGTAATCAAATTATCTCCAAGGACAGAGGCAAAACTCCATTGAACACATGGTAGCAAAAGACAATAAAATACATAAAAATATATAACTGTGCAACCATTGCATACAACAGGTACATTCAACAGATCACCAGATTGCTCAGATCTGTGCGCACATTATTACTGAATGGCACTCAGAGCACACACATACAGTTCAATTGCCATGGAGCCAAAGTCTTTCCCATAGTCTTTCATTATACGAATGGGCTCCATGGCATAGCTATCTGGGGTATCACTGCTCAAACAGGGCAAGCACCGAATGACCCGGCTTTCGTGTCTTTGCAGGGGAAAATCAAGTGTTTCAACATGGGGCCATAGTCTAAAGGCAACAGGCGGGCAACCAGGCTCCTCCAATGCACAGTGGCGAGATTGGTCTTGTCACAGCCATCTTAAAGGATCACTATAGGGTCAGGAACATAAACATGTATTCCCTACCCTATAGTGCTAAACCCACCATTTAGGTATCCTGCCCCCCTCTAAAATTTTAAAACTCGCCATATTTCCAGCGCCATGCGAGTCTGCCGGCCCTGGCTCCGACCCCTTTGTCACATCATCAAAAAGGCAGATTTTTAGCCAATCCAATGTTTTCCCATTGGGAAAGCATTGGATTGGCCAAAACCAGCATGGGGGCGGGGCCAAACAGCATTTTGGCCAATCAGCAACTCCTCATAGAGAAGCATTGAATCAATGCATCTCTATGAGGAAAATTCAGCGTCTCAATACAGAGCTTGGAGACGCTGAACGACAGGGCTGCTTACTGTGCAGCACTAACCCAGGAAGCACCTCCAGTGGCCATCTGAGGAGTGACCACTTGGAGGTGTTCCTGGGGGCAATGTAAACACTGCCTTTTCTCTGAAAACACAGTGTTTACATGAAAATGTCTGACGGCAATGATTATACTCTGCAGAACTACTAAATTAAGCTGTAGTTGTTCTGGTAACTATAGTATCCCTTTACCCCCCCCCCCCCCCCAGAAAAAAAAAAAAAAAAAACTCCAGTGCCCAAATCCAAAATAAATATCACAATTTAGTAGATATATCCCCCAAGACATGCCTGCATTTAATTATGCATTTGTTTTCATTGAGGGTACACCTGAAAACCGTTTATAAAAGCTGCAGATCTCATGTCTGCAGCCTTTGTAAGCCTTCTCCTTGTAACCCCACCCAGACTTTCTCTTACAATTATGTAAAATTATCAGTTTTTTTATAATTTAACGTTTATGATTAAACTCATCAGTATTAACATAAATTGCATGTACTGATAAATAGGTTTTAATGTATATAGCATGTTTTGACAACAGGTGCTAACTGTAACGCAAAGCCTTTGAAATGAGTGCGAATCAGGACACAGGCGCCGTAGCAGAGAAACGCGCCTGGAAGCGGACTCCCAACACTCCTATCCAGCAGCACACTAATCTTCACATTATCCTGCAACAGCAAACACGTTAAAACTTACTTGGGACGCCAAGCTATCAGTATCAGGTCTGAGTGTCGGGAATCTCGTGTATATATTTTAATGTGCAGCAGAATAACTCCATACTGGACACAATCTCTTACAAATTACCCTTCTTTGTATTGTAACTTATAAGACTGAATTTTTTCCTTCATTACAGTATTGTATTTATAACTATACTGAATGTCAGTCTCTCTAGTTCTAAGATAACATACTTTCTTATATGCTTTTATCCATTTCTGCATAATATGGAATAGTGAAGGACTGTGCATAATAGCCGATTACAAAAGAAAGACTACACTTCTATTTTCACCTATATTTAATTTTTTTTCACTTTTTCCATTTTATCTAAGCGCTGCCATTCATGAGACAGGATCATTTTAGAATTGTTTAAGATTTATATTTTTATAGGTTAATAGGTCTCCTATTTTTCACTATATCAGTTTATTTTTATTTATCATTTTTCATTTTAAGCAATGGGATGACCACATTGTACTACAGGATTTTCTGATAGAAATAGCACCCATGATCTCACCTGTAAATGGTTGGCTACCATTCTGTGCCCGTAGAGGGCTGCTGAGAATAAGAGTCAGTGAATCTGCTCTACTCTTGGTGGCTTTCGTTTCTCTGTTCTCAAACTCTCTCTCCTCCTCATCCTGAGGTGGGTTCTCCAGGTGCGAGTCCGTTAACGCCTCCTCTGGGATGAGCACATCCTTTATGCTGTCTTCCATCTCCTTAAGCTCCTCTCCCAGTTTTTCAATAGTCAAATGTGTCCCATTAACCTCTCCTGGTGCCTGGTCCAGTAATTCGTCTATCAAACTATCCACAGACTGAGGAGAGTCCCAGGTAGAGGAAGTACATAGCTTCCCATAGCTAGAAGGATATTTATTGGAGCCATTCTCTGCTCCCAGTGCCTGCTCTCCTTCATCTGTCCTCATCACATGGATCTCCTTCACCATCTCTCTTTTCACTTTTTTTACCTCCAAATCCTCATCAAAGCGACCAGCCAGATTGGACACCCTTTGAAGGCAACTTGGGTATGGCTGGTCCTCTGCTACAGAACCATTCACAAGGATAGGAACTCCAACATCTGCATGCCCTCCCTCCCCCACTCCACATTGTCCACTATTCACTCTGCTTTCCTTTCCTTCCTCTTGCAAGCTACGTTTTTTAGTTCGTGGGGTAACTATGTGCCGGCGTGCTTCCTTGCTATCCTGGGCTCGATTAGCAGATGAAGATGGAGAGAAGTAGTCTGGTGAAACGATAACTTCCTCAGGGGTAGGAGGTGACAGACTGCGTGGGCTGGGTTCCTCCCCATCATATGGGGCAGACCAGACTCGACAAGCCTTTGCACAGTGGTCTATGCCAGCACGTGCTTCCTGCAGGTACTCCAGGTAGTTGCCATCTAGCTCAGACACCTCATCCCAACACAGAGGGCCATGTCTAGGGCTTCCGGCAGACATGTCTTGGGAAGAGAAGCTGGGAGAACGTGGGGATGAACTTTCAGGAGTGTGGCTGGATTGACGCATGAAGAATGCCATGCGAGAAGGAGTGGAGGGCCTTGGCACTGTGTTTACAGAGGAAGTGTCAATGCTGGGACTCCCGTGTGCTGTAGGGAGGAATATAAAACCGTGTTAATTATCATATGAAGACATGATCAAACAGCTCACCTAATTGCTCTCTTCTACAGCCTTTTTACAAAACGTAGTCACCCAAGCAGCTTTTCCCCCCCGGGTATGGGTGACATCTATTACAAAATAGTTTCAGGATCAGTTACCTTACATTCATCTCAAATTAACTGAGCATTTATATAGGTTGCAAACTCCTAAACAAAGAAAAACGAGACTGCATTCATAGACACCACGGATTGCATGTCTTTAAGAATTTGGAACGCAAAACAGTCCGTAGATAATCACCTCTTTGCCTGTCACGGAGGTGAGGCAGAACACTGCGTATAATACAGCTCTGCGGGAGACTAGGATTGTGTCTGGAAGGCTAGCATGTCATGAGAACCCATAGGGCCCAGGAAACTTTGTAAGGTATAGTTTTATCAGAAATAGGTGTCCATCTCCAGAGTTCCTCTTACCTTTAAACTAAATGTAACTGCTAATTTCAGCTCACAAAAAGCTTGTTTTGTATTGATGTCCACCAAAACCTTTTTCACCACGTCTTGCCGTCTCCTCTGCTCACAGCAGGATGGTGGCATTGACCATTAAATTAATGTTTGATATCTCCCTCACCTTTGGACCAGGTAGCATGTTCCTCCTCACGCTCCTGAGAGACCAGGAATTCCTTTTGACAGCAGCGTGGGATGAGGGACAGGAATTTGTCAGCAGTCTTTGAGTACAGGTCCAGGTCTTTGACAGCTCTCCGCTGACTAAGCATGACATGATTACACGGAATCAGGTACCTGAACAGACAATAAACCATAACAAAGACTAAGAAGCAGAACACATGGCGTCTCCGAGTATTCAGCCAAAATAGACACCGATATAAAGTGCCTTGTTATCAATAAGGAGAGAGGATAGGCAGACTAACCTGAGCACCAGCTGCAGCAGAACGTCTTCACAGTTGAGGTTAAGTAAAGTGCGGAACAAGGTGAGTGAAACCATGCAGAGCTGTGAGAGAGGGAGACACAACCTTTAAACATAGCATGCCAGAAATCGGAAACCGGGACAGCAGTATAATTAGAAATTATCCATTTCATTGAAGTCGTTATAGTGGATGGAATCCACTGGCACAGTCCCTCCATTCAGTGTAAAACAATTTTATCTTCCTGAAGTGGTTATAGTGGCTAAGGCCAGTAAGGTATTGTCATGCATGAAAAAGGGAATTCATTCTCGGGACAAGAATATAATTTTGCCTCTTTATAAATCACTGGTAAGAGCACATATTGAATATGCTGTGCAATTTTGGGCACCTGTTCTAAAGAAGGATATTATGGCACTAGAAAAAGTGCAGAGGCGGCCTACAAAATGAATAAAAGGAATGGAGCATTTTAGCTATGAAGAAAACTTTAGTTTGGAAAAACGTCGCCTGAGAGGGTGTGACGAGAGTAATCTCGCCACATTGCATTGGAGAAGCGTGGTTGCTCGCCTGCTACCTTTGGATTATGGCCCCATGTTAAAAGACTTTGTTCCCCCTGCAGAAAAGACTTATTCGTGCTTTTCTGCCTGGTGTTCGGTAGATTCAATCTACCGAACAACCGCACGAATGACTAGACCACCTGGGAGCTGGAGTGTGCCGGCAATTAGCCTCCCAGAAGCTGCGGCCATTTTAAACACGCGAACGCACAGCAGTGTTCGACGCTGAATTCATGGAACTAAAAACGGACACAGTTTGGCGCGAACACCGCTGAGGCCACCGACCTCCCTTCTTGTTCGGTGGAAGTACACGAACAGCCCGGTATTCGGTAGCTGTACCTGACTGCACTATACCCCAGATAGGAATCCCATGGAGCTCATTCGTATGAGAACTGAGTTTGTAAAGACTTTGGCTCCATGGCGATTAAACTGTATTCGTGTGGTCTGAGCGCTATTCGCTTAATAATGTGCGCTCAGACCTGAGCTATCTGGGGATATGTTAAATGTATAGTTTTATTGTAACTTGTGTCACATATTGTATTTTAACAGTAATTCATGTTTTAGTATCCCCACGTGCATAATGGCGATTTGCCTTTGTCCTGGGAGATAATTGAATTACTTCTCAATTATCTCCAGGGCAGAGGGGAGGAAGCCAGGATGCATTGTGGGAATATAATGTGACTGTGTGTCCTGTTTGGCTGATTGTCTGTCTTTTGTCACAGTCTCCCATTTGGTCCCCTAGGGGAGTGTCCACCAGGTGGGAGACCTGCATAAATACTGGGCAGGTAGCCCTCATTAAACAGACCACTGCTTGACCCTCAACACGGAGCCTTGTCTCGTCTTTGGGGGGATTTACTGAATGCTGATTGCTAGGAGTGTAAGCCGCTTGGGTGCTTTTCCTATTCGTCTGCTAGCAGCTATTCGTATGGTTCCAGTTCGTGAGTTTGGAGTGTTATATTGTATGCCGTTCGGGAGTTTGGAGCATTCCCTTACATGCGGTTCGGGAGTTTGGTGTTCTACAGTAGCTGTGCCTGCATCTCTGAAAGGGGACGATCGCCTAAACGGTTTTAACCCCTTGTGTGCTGAAACGGTCCGTTACAATTGGTGGCAAGCGGCGGGATCGTTCCTACAGCCAGAAGGACAGCTACAGGAGACACCATTCCGTGGATTTTACAATTTGAGGGCAACGCATGTCCCAGTACAGCGACCCTGACAGCACCGGATGGAACCAGCAGTGGAGTATGATGAGGGTGTCATGGATGACCGAGATGCAGTTCGCAAAGGCATCTGGTACCAGGCACTGGGTATTGTGGAGTACCAGCGGGACAAGAGATTCCCCAAGGAAGACCAGCGGTTACAGAAGCGAGTAGCCCTGCGGATGCCCTTCCTGGGAGAGCAGCCCCTGGAGGTATGGGTGAAGAAATTGGAACACCTAGTATGGCAAGAGATGTGGCTGGAAGATGCCTACCAGGCGCTCTGGTGGTATGGGGCACAGTACCTGCCCTGGACAGCCGAGCATGACAAGCCAGAGGGAGAGGAGTTTGATGGTCCTGGCTTGTTATGGGAGGCTTTTTCAGAGCCTGAATTTGGGAGCCCTACACAAGCCCGGTTCAGTGATCAATTGGAGTGGAGGGAGAGCAGGTATGACTGGGACGACACTCAGGAGATTGAGCAAGACCTGGTCCACCTAGTGACCCGAGAGATGGAGCTGGAGCAGGGCTACCAAGATCTGTTCCACTCCAGCGAGAAGGCTCAGCAGGGAAGCGGAGACCCAGATCCAAACCCATTCAGCTGGGTAGATATGGCAGAAAATTACTGGGAAGAACCCCAGGTGGCTGGTGGAGATGGGACAGAGGTCTCTCCACCGGTCCTGCAGGGAATTGGGAGCCCAAGCTCCATTCCCCAGTGGCAGGCTGAGTTACAGGGGTCAGAGACAAGTGGTCCTGCCCCCCAGCGGCAGTGTACCTTGCAGGGAGAGGAGAGCAGCGTCCTCCCTCCCCAGTGGTAGGGTGAGCTACAGGGATGCTGGGCGGTTGGCTCAGATCCCCAGCGGCAGTATGATTTTTTGGGAATTGGGAGCCCAGTCTCCTTTCCCCAGCAGCAGGACTCTGTATTGGGAGCGGAGACAGTCGGTCTCCCTCCCCCGCGGCTGGATGTATGTATGGGAGAGGAGCTTGTTACCCCCTCTCCCCAGCGGCAGCTTAATGTACCGGGGGAGACAGTAAGCCCCTCAACTGTGCAAATGGGACCATGGTCTCTGCACGTACAGCACAGGGGGTAGGGACGGTCGGTTCTGCCCCCCAGCGACAGGGCTGTTTAGCCAAAGGGGAGACAGTCGGTCTCACCCTCCAGCAGCAGAGCTGTGTATCTAAAGGGGAGACAGTCGGTCTCCAGCAGCAGGGCTGTGTATCTAAAGGGGAGACAGTCTGTCTCCAGCAGCAGGGCTGTGTATCTAAAGGAGAGACAGTCGGTCTCCCCCTCCAACAACCAGGCTACCTCCCCAGTAGCGCTGGCAAAAGGGCAGAGTACCGCTGGTCTCTGCCCACTCAGCAACCCACCAAGTCAGCATACCCGTACCCAGCACAGCCGTGGTGAGGCACCTGGACAAGCTTATCCTCTACCCAGGTGTAGTAACCATTTATTGAGGGTGATCTGTGCTGTTGATTGTGTTTTGTGGGTGGGCTGCTGGACTAACAAGGGCACTGACTGGCAGGAAGTCAGATACCCTGTTAGTCTGTTTGGAAAAGGGGAGAGATGTGACGAGAGCAATCTCGCCACCTTGCCTTGGAGAAGCCTGGTTGCTCGCCTGCTACCTTTGGATTATGGCCCCATGTTAAAAGACTTTGTTCCCCCTACAGAATTAGCTTAATTAAGCTTAATTGACGAATACAGGGTGGCCGCCACTCGTATAACAAATATAAGGTCGCGGCCATTTTAAACACGCGAACGCACTGCAGTGTTAGACGCTGAATTCATGGAACTAAAAACGGACACAGTTTGGCGCGAACACCGCTGAAGCCGCCAACCTCCCTTCTTGTTCGGTGGAAGTACACGAACGGCCCGGTATTCGGTAGTTGTACCTGACTGCACTATACCCCAGATAGAAATCCCATGGAGCTCATTCGTATGAGAACTGAGTTTGTAAAGACTTTGGCTCCATGGCGATTAAACTGTATTCGTGTGGTCTGAGCGCCATTCGCTTAATAAGGTGCGCTCAGACCTGAGCTATCTGGGGATATGTTAAATGTATAGTTTTATTGTAATTTGTGTCACATATTGTATTTTAACAGTAATTCATGTTTTAGTATCCCCACGTGCATAATGGCGATTTGCCTTTGTCCTGGGAGATAATTGAATTACTTCTCAATTGTCTCCAGGGCAGAGGGGAGGAAGCCAGGATGCATTGTGGGAATATAATGTGACTGTGTGTCCTATTTGTCTACTTGTCTGTCTTTTGTCACAGTCTCCCATTTGGTCCCCTATGGGTGGGAGACCTGCATAAATAATGGGCAGGTAGCCCTCATTAAACAGACCACTGCTTGACCCTCAACACAGAGCCTTGTCTCGTCTTTGGGGGGGGGATTTACTGAATGCTGATAGAGACTGATTGCTAGGAGTGTAAGCTGCTTGGATGCTTTTCCTATTCGTATGGTTCCAGTTCGTGAGTTTGGAGTGTTATATTGGATGCCGGTCGGGAGTTTGGAGTATTCCCTTACATGCGGTTTGGGAGTTTGGTGTTCTACAGTAGCTGTATCTGCATCTCTGAAAGGGGACGATCACCTAAACTGTTTCAACCCCTTGTGTGCTGAAACGGTCCATTACAGAGGGGATATGATAACATTATACAAATATATTCGGGGCCAATACAAACCATTGTGTGGAAATCTATTCACAAACCGGACTTTACATAGGACACGAGGTCATGCCTTTAGACGGGAAGAAAGAAGATTTCATCTAAGGCAAAGTAAGTTTTTTTTTACTGTAAGAACAATCAGGATGTGGATTTCTCTGCCTGAAGAAGAAGTGGTTTTATCAGAGGCTATACAGATGTTTAAACAGCAACTAGATGCATACTTGCAAAAACAGAATATTCAAGGTGTAGCAGAGCTGCAATATTAAATCCCAAGATCTCCGCTGGTACAGAAAGTAATCCAAAGTAAAGCGCTAGAAAAGAAGGCAATATCCCAAATCCCCCAGTAACCGGACGAAACAGTTCTGGGCAGACTAGATGGGCCGAATGGTTCTTATCTGCCGTTACATTCTATGTAACTGAAGAGTTTATTCACAAGCTCCAGTATTTATGTGATTCCCCATGCAAGGGGATTCCTTAGTCACTTTACAGGGGTATTACAGTAGAGGACTACATGGGGAACTGAATATACAGAGCATTTCTCCCACCATGCACTGCTGTACGTGAAGGATACTCCCACTAGAATATCTTGTTAAGTGGATTATCCCTCCGTACGGTGCCGGTATAGGAGGTATCACAATTCCCTGCCTGTAGCGGTGCTGGTATAGGAGGCATCACAGTTCCCTGCCTGTAGCGGTGTCGGTATAGGAGGCATCACAGTTCCCTGCCTGTAGCGGTGCCGGTATAGGAGGCATCACAGTTCCCTGCCGGTAGCGGTGCCGGTATAGGAGGTATTACGGTTCCCTGCCGGTAGCGGTGCCGGTATAGGAGGTATTACGGTTCCCTGCCGGTAGCGGTGCCGGTATAGGAGGCATCACAGTTCCCTGCCTGTAGCGGTGCCGGTATAGGAGGTATTACAGTTCCCTGCCTGTAGAGGTGCCGGTATAAGAGGTATCAGTTCCCTGCCTGTAGCGGTGCCGGTATAGGAGGCATCACAGTTCCCTGCCTGTAGCGGTGCCGGTATAGGAGGCATCACAGTTCCCTGCCTGTAGCAGTGCCGGTATAGGAGGTATTACGGTTCCCTGCCTGTTAGGATGTATTACACAGGAGATTTCTTACCCGTGAGTTGCTAACAATTCGGCTGATGAGTGTGTGAAGGATGGTGCTGCTGTCATGGCGATGGAGAAGGATAAAGCGTAGAAATGTTTTTAGAAGGGTGGGCTCACTGATACTGCGCAAGAATAGCTCCAGGTACGCGGTGCTGGCAATCATTTCTTCTATAGATGTCTGATAAGGAAAATAAAACAGTCATTTTACACACAGGGAATACAGGGAGAGAGAGAGAAAGAGCACAGGGGACACGGGGTGGGGAGAAAGAGCACAGGGGACACGGGGTGGGGAGAAAGAGCACAGGGGACACGGGGTGGGGAGAAAGAGCACAGGGGACACGGGGTGGGGAGAAAGAGCACAGGGGACACTGGGTGGGGAGAAAGAGCACAGGGGACACTGGGTGGGGAGAAAGAGCACAGGGGACACTGGGTGGGGAGAAAGAGCACAGGGGACACTGGGTGGGGAGAAAGAGCACAGGGGACACGGGGTGGGGAGAAAGAGCACAGGGGACACGGGGTGGGGAGAAAGAGCACAGGGGACACGGGGTGGGGAGAAAGAGCACAGGGGACACTGGGTGGGGAGAAAGAGCACAGGGGACACTGGGTGGGGAGAAAGAGCACAGGGGACACTGGGTGGGGAGAAAGAGCACAGGGGACACTGGGTGGGGAGAAAGAGCACAGGGGACACGGGGTGGGGAGAAAGAGCACAGGGGACACGGGGTGGGGAGAAAGAGCACAGGGGACACGGGGTGGGGAGAAAGAGCACAGGGGACACGGGGTGGGGCGGGGACACAGAGTGGGTGCTGCAGGATGGGGGAGGAGTTAAGGGTAGCGGTGTTTGCATACGGGTCACGCATTACTGCCAGTCTCTGAATATAATATAAGAAAACTTTAGTTTGGAAAAACAGCACCTCAGAGGGGATATGATAACATTATACAAATATATTCGGGGGCAATACAGGTGCAGTGCTTCAGTAATCCTTGAGAAGGTATATGTGAAGAGAACCAGAGGAGAAATAATAGTGTAGTATTTAAAACTGTAGTGGTGATAAGTAAAATAAACATTTTATAGTTTTTACCTACCCTTGCTTCATAGCTCTACATACTTCACCATATACGATTTTTGTTTGTTTTTATGAGGATACCCCCACCACACCTATAACTCGAAGAATTACCTCTGCACTTGATCCATAGGCGGGGATTATTCCGCCCAGGCGCATACACGGGAGCGGTATTGAAGCTCCAGGAAAGTGTGAGTGCACATCTTTTATTTTACTTATCACCACTACAGTTTTAAATACTACGCTATTATTCCTGCTCTGGTTCTCTTCACATACCTTGTCAAGGATTACTGAAGCGCCGCACCTACCCCCAAGTTTTTATCCAGTTTTCTGATCTGAAAAGAGAGACTGCGTATTGGTGTTCCAGCTGCTTTTGGACTTTTATCACTTTGCTTCCGCGCTAAATTTATTTTTGTGTGATTGTGCAGTCGCTGAATAGCACCACTTACTTTGTGCAGGGCGGGTCCCATAACGGGCACCAGGAAACCATTGTGAATATACTCTACCAGCTGGTTCTGAACCAGAGGATGAGCAACCTGCAAAGAGAAAGTAATATTTAAGAATAGGTTGTGTTATGCCAAAGAACATTTCATAACATTCTGCCCTTCATTGTAGAGATACACGTTTAGTAACGACCATCCCGATTAGGACAATACAATGCGTCTATGTCTGAACATCTACAAAGAATTACAGAGAACCAATGAATTCAGACATCACATTATCTATTGTCAAACTGTCATGGTTGGAAAATCTGTGCTTACCCTCTACATTAACAATGGTAAGGACTAAAGCAAAGTTCTTAAACCATAAACAAAACGTGCTGAAAGAGTTTGGTAAGAAGCCCCAAGAGAACAATGAAAGTTACCTGTGTTACAGCATTGCAGAACTCTAAGGAATTCATGAAAAGAACGATTGACGAGACCCCGATCCAGTCTTCCCGGCGCAGAAAGTGCCAGTCATCCCCACGCACCTCAATCTTACGTGGAAGCGAAGAATACAGAGCACTCAGGCCCGTGGCCAGAATCTGAAGGAACAACAGATGAAGATAAAAAAAGAGCTTTCGCCACACAGGGATCAGGACACGCCCTCACCGTACAGGGACCCAGACACTGTCTCACCGTACACATACCTGCTCTCATCCAGACACGCTCTTACCAAAGCAAATTCTCACCATATATTGTTATTGGCATTTATACTTCTATCCAGTAATAAGTAAATAAAGTGAGGAGTACAAGAAATTAAGGACTTTTACCAAGTTATCATTCGGTTCAAATATTCTGAGAAAAAACATTGAGTTTGTATTCCAATATTGTTGAATGCCTTAGGCAGTGGCGGAGTGACAGGCAACAGAGGGTTGTAGTCAATGGATCCGAGTGTGCGCTAACTTTATCTCATTATTAGATCCGAGTGTGATCCTACGCTACCTCATTATTAGATCTGAGTGTGATCCTACGCTACCTCATTATTAGAGCCGAGTGTGATCCTACGCTACCTCATTATTAGAGCCGAGTGTGATCCTACGCTACCTCATTATTAGAGCCGAGTGTGCTCCTACGCTCTCTCATTATAAGATCCGAGTGTGCTCCTACGCTATATTATTAGATATGAGTGTGCTCCTACGCTATCTCATTATTAGATATGAGTGTGCTCCAATGTTACCTCATTAGATCTGAGTGTGCTCCAATGTTACCTCATTATTAGATCTAAGTGTGCTCCAATGTTACCTCATTATTAGATCTGAGTGTGCTCCAATGTTACCTCATTATTAGATCTGAGTGTGCTCCAATGTTACCTCATTATTAGATCTGAGTGTGCTCCAATGTTACCTCATTATTAGATCTGAGTGTGATCCTACGCTACCTCATTATTAGATCCGAGTGTGCTCCTACGCTATATTATTAGATATGAGTGTGCTCCTACGCTATCTCATTATTAGATATGAGTGTGCTCCAATGTTACCTCATTAGATCTGAGTGTGCTCCAATGTTACCTCATTATTAGATCTGAGTGTGCTCCAATGTTACCTCATTATTAGATCTGAGTGTGCTCCAATGTTACCTCATTATTAGATCTGAGTGTGCTCCAATGTTACCTCATTATTAGATCTGAGTGTGCTCCTACGTTACCTCATTACTAGATTTGAGTCTGCTCTTACATTACATTATCTTATTAGTCAGAAATCAGTGCAGGGTGTTCTTGTTTAGAAAGGGAGAAAATAATAATTGTGTCAGTAAGTATGGTAGAGTGTGGGTAATGTTCATGGTAGGATCAGGGTGTCAGTAAGTCCGGTAGGGTGTGGGTAATGGATGACACAGTTCTGGGGGTTTAATGCCTCACACACTGCTTTTATGCCTAGTCCCATGCAAGGGGTCTTTAACACAACAATACAGGGGTTTCAATCCCAGGATCCTCTGTGCCTGAGAGAGAATTGCCTGAGAAAAAAAAAAAAAAAACAACAAACTTTAATTATACACGTAGGAACCCCACAAAAAGTACATTCCTCGATAGCCCTGAGCTGAGTGTATAACATTTCCAAGAATCACGCAAATCGGTTCGGTGAAACGGAAATGCCACAGAGGTAAAGTTTTGACCGGCCAGGCATGAGGCGCTAGCCCAAAACAGTTCCAGGGAAATAGGTGTCCTGGCAGGTCTGTGTTCGGTTATACGAAATGGCGGCCACCCGGAAAAGCATTCATTACTTCCCTTGCGGTTTCGCAATTAAGTGGTCGGTATAAACGTTCTAATGGGGTACAGGGGTGGTCTTCGTTCGGGAGACTAAGGAATTCTGTTCGTATGACGTCTCCTGAACAAAACAAGGATGAAAGATGTGAATATAAGGGGAAAGTAAATTTAAAAAAGTACTTGGAGGTCTCCATTCTGCTACAATTAGATCCGAGTGAGCTCCAACGTTATCTCATTACTAGTTCTGAGTGTGCTCTTACATTACATTATCTTATTAGTCAGTAATCAGTGCAGGGTGTTCTTGTTTACAAAGGGTGAAAGTAATAATTGTGTCAGTAAATACGGTTGGGTGTGGGTAATGTGTGCACGGTAGTATTGGGGTGTCAGTAAGTACAATAGGGTGTGGGTAATGTGTTCACGTTAGAATCAGGGTGTCAGTAAGCTCAGGTAATGGTGTCTGCTGTAGCTCGGAGCTGAATTTACAGGAAGAGGTTGCAGGCAGAGTTTTCCCCAGGCAGTGACTGGGAGGAATGCAGGCACAGAGCCAGGCCCCAGTGTGAAGTCAGTAACAGGGAGGGGCCGCATTCCATGATACAGGGAGTGTCTAGCTGGCATGCTGGTCACCAGGCCACAGTGCCAGCTGGGCCCACTCGTAGCTGCTGCTAGAGCACAGCTGGTTAATCACCAACGTGAGCCGTTCTATTTTCAGCACAGGGAGGTTAAACAGTTCTACAATTTTATTGATAGCCCAGTGCAGCCTGACACATATTGCAGAGGGGAGAGGTAAAAGAACCCACCGTGCCCGGCCAAATGCCCACTGAACATAATTAAGCCAAAACGAGTAAAGAGTCACTTTCTTTGCCTGTGACAGGATAGAAAGCAAAAATCTTTCCTCTAGCAGAGACCGACACCTCCCCCTGCTCGTCAGCTCAGCTTACACCTGGAATAACAGAGTCAGGCCACGGGCAGGCTGCCATGACAAACAGGGCCGACACACTCACTCCAATCCCAGCCATCAATGTGTTCGAGCAGTCTCTATTCACTGACACACTCACTCCAATCCCAGCCATCAATGTGTTCGAGCAGTCTCTATTCACTGACACACTTATTCCAATCACAATGCATATGTGATCCTAGTTTTGTCTAATACGCGTGTGATCCGAGCTGCGTGCAAGGTGTGCTAGCTGCGTGCAATATATCTATTAAGTTATATGGCTGTGTGCAAGTTTTATACATGTGATGATTGCAGGCTGTTTGTGCTGTGTCGAACCCCCCATCTTTCAACAAAGCTTTCTGCAAAGAGGGTAGGCTAGACTACATGGGAGTCAATTGTAGAGTAAAGTCCCTAATTTCTGGAGTGAGTGGTCTGCACTTCCATCAAGCGCAGGCCACAGTAACCACTCCCTCGGGTCTTAGCACACAGAGTGCAGAATGGTGGCAGACACACACTGTAAGTCACACTCAGCTTTGATCAGTTATAGATTATATTTAGCTTAAGCAGTCCCCTGCAGGCACTGCTATCTTATTTCTTTAGGTCAAATGCAGTCTTTCGGAGTATTTCAGAAAGATTGTATCTTATTAAATGCTCATAAATTATTTTTGGTGACAGACCCTCTGTAAATTGCCAACAGATCTGCAACTGATATTCAATATGCAAGTTCTGTTCAGGAGTGGAAACTTGTTATCTATTTTTAGACAGTATTTAGTTTAAACGTTTGAAAATTGTATCCCTTCTAATAAGGTAGCATTCAAATCTATATGTGTAAATTTCCAGATAAAAGCTGGGGCCCCAGTAAACACATATACAGTCATAACACGCATCATGCACCACTCACCGGACAGAAGAAGGAGTTCTCCGTGATGTATCTGGCCATAGTGGGATTGCTTGAAGACATGGCCATGATGAGGAGAAGTGCGTCGCGGGCCTGCTGACCAATAACACCCTCGTGGTGGATGAAAGGAACCAGTAGTGAGAAGATGAGCAGGTTGGCTGGCCCTTCATGCCCCACAGAGTCCTGGAAGAAGAGCTCTAGGGTGGAAGGTTCCCTTGCCAGTGACACACACAGCTGGTTCAGCAGCAGCACCAGGCTATTCTCCAAGATGGGAGATGCTGGCCCAGGGGAGAAGGTGCCCAGCAGCGTTACTAGTGGGCGCAGCACTGGCTGGTAGCGGAGCAAGGGTTGGTGGGACTGGCTGATCAGCATTTCATACAACTTCAGCTGCTCCACCTGCAGACAGGAGGAGAGGAAAGGTTTTCAAGGCATTCAGATGTAATGTTTTAGAGCAGGCATGGCATATATTACAAGTTAATAAAATACCATTACAGTGTCCCTCATAACACTAAAACCTTAGAAAATATTACTGCTGTAATTAAGGTTGCAATCATCTGAGTATCATAGCCAGCTGAGGTGGGTATAGTGTTAGCAGGACCCAGACGTTGTTCTCTGGTTCGGTCTCAAATCGTTTTCAAGCGGTTTCTCACTGGGTTCCACGATGCTGTGATTATTTCATATCACTTTAGCATTATCAATTGTGGACAAAATTGGACGCCACGGACTGCCTGGGAGCGTAAATAGACATGCTGAGCCAAAGAATGTTCTCCAAATTTAGGCAACATTTACATTGTTAAAGAGAAGTGTAACTCTCGACAATATGGAAGGTGCCCTTGATTTGGTGGGGGGGGGGCGGTTGGGACAATAACTGAGGACAAATAATAAACAGGATAGGAATAAGATACGGAGCGATAACTATGGGGAGAGAGTGTATGGAGAAGATAATTACTGGTGAGGGAATATGAGAGATAATGATTAGGGATAGAGAATACGGGAAAGAATAATTAGGGATAGAGAATACGCGAGAGATAATGATTGGGGATAGATAATACGGGCGAGAAGGATTAGGGATAGAGAATACGGGAGAGATAAGGATTAGGGATAGAGAATATGGGAGAGATAATGATTGGGGATAGATAATACGGGAGAGATAAGGATTAGGGATAGAGAATACGGGAGAGATAAGGATTAGGGATAGAGAATACGGGAGAGATAAGGATTAGGGATAGAGAATACGGGAGAGAAGGATTAGGGATAGAGAATACGTGAGAAGGATTAGGGATAGAGAATACGAGAGAGGGGGATTAGGGATAGAGAATACGGGAGAGAAGGATTAGGGATAGAGAATACGGGAGAGATAATGATTGGGGATAGATAATACGGGAGAGAAGGATTAGGAATAGAGAATACGGGAGAGATAAGGATTAGGGATAAAGAATACGGGAGAGAATTTAAAACAATAGTAGTATAAATATACAACAGTGAGAAAAAGGTAAAATATGGTGCTACAATCACCTGTGTGGATCACTCTAAACACACAAAGTGCACAATGTGGAATAAAATAGTGAACGCACTCAAACAATAATAAAAGTTACCACAAGCGTAGGTGGAAACAATCCTAAAATATGAATAAAATGAAAGCCCATAGGTAATACAGTTACACACTTTTGTTTAAAAAAAAAACAAAAAAACAAAAAAAAAAATATAGATTACTGGTCCAACTCACATGCTGCTGAGCCACTTAAAAAGCTGGCTCAGACTAGAAGCTTTAAGCTGTGGGTACAGTGGATCCTTGTTGTAAACTGGAGGCTTCCAATTTGTGTTCCCAATACTCCACCACATAAAATCCAGGATGCAGGAGATGCATAGCAAAAACCACGATTTTATTGGATTAACATTAAAAGCCAAGGAAAACAAGTAAGGTCCACATGCAACTTGACGCGTTTTAGCGGGTAGCCTTTCTCCTCCATGATCTCTTTTATAAATGTAGTTTTGGTGCCTTTTCCACCATGTGTTTCCACTTTCGTCATCATCATGCGTTCGACACTTCCAATTTCATGCATCCTTGCGTCATGGCGTGATCACGCAGAATCCAGAAATTATCAAGCGGTTGTATTTGTAAGTCCATTCTTGACGGCAATTAAATACAAAGTAGGGCAACATACTTATACTTGTATCAATATTTATGGTAGATAATCAAAAAGTAGAATTGATCTCCAAAAACATAATGCAGCATTAAAAAAAAAAAAAAAGGAAAAGGGGATATGAAAGGAAGAGAAGATGTATTAAAAAAAAAAAAAAACACACACCACACATACACAAATAAATGTAATATTAGAAGTTTTTAAAAGCTGGGAAAACCTGCATAAAAAAGAGGAAGCATGGTAAAACACTTAAAGATTTTTTTTGTTTGTTTTTTATTTTAAATACAGGAATTAAATTTCAAAATCGGCATTTAAGCCATGAGGTAGCAGGGTATCAATGTTAAAGGTCCACCTCATTTGAGATTTACGGAGGAGACTTCCAATGTGCTTTAACCCCTTCTAGTTCACCAGCATGACCGCCATGGGGTTCCAAGAAATGCTTGGATACGCTACGTTGACAGAATTTGCTATTGATGTTCTAGATGTGATATCTAATGCGTATTTTAAGAGCCCGTGATGTTTTCCCAATGTACTGGAATCCACGGGGACGTGTACGCATATAAAATGATGGTAGTGGAATTACATGTTATAAATGATTTAATGAGATATTCTTGATGGTTTCTAAATGAATTTAGAAACTTTTTTGATTCCTATTTTGTCTTAAAGTGCATCCTTGACAGTTCATACAGTAATAAAAGCCATTTTCTTTTTTTTTTAAAAATGAATTTTAAGTCCCATTAATAATTTTCTTGATCTAAAAAACTCTTGGTTAAAATGTGTTTAAAATTATTAGCCCTTACACTCCCCCATCCATAGACCCAAGATCTCCAAGTGGAGGTTAAATGAATCACTGCTCACCAACCCAACGGTCACATCCGACATTGGGAAGACACTACAGGATTACTTTACAAACAACACCTGCGAACAAACCCCCCCCCCACCATACGCTGGGAGGCACACAAGTGTGTCATAAGGGGGCATTTTATCCAAAAAAAGCACACTCGTGAAGAAACAGAGAGAGGCCCGCATGGCCGCTTTGCTGTCGGACATAGAACAAGCAGACACACTTAACAAGCAACACCAACTCCCCACACACCAGGCCAAACTCCTCCGCCTACCTCCGTAGCAAATAATGATTGGGGATAGATAATACGGGAGAGATAAGGATTAGGGATAGAGAATACGGGAGAGAAGGATTAGGGATAGAGAATACGGGAGAGAAGGATTAGGGATAGAGAATACGGGAGAGAAGGATTAGGGATAGAGAATACGTGCGAGAAGGATTAGGGATAGAGAATACGTGCGAGAAGGATTAGGGATAGAGAATACGTGCGAGAAGGATTAGGGATAGAGAATACGAGAGAGGGGGATTAGGGATAGAGAATACGGGAGAGAAGGATTAGGGATAGAGAATACAGGAGAGAAGGATTAGGGATAGAGAATACGGGAGAGAAGGATTAGGGATAGAGAATACGAGAGAGGGGGATTAGGGATAGAGAATACGGGAGAGAAGGATTAGGGATAGAGAATACGGGAGAGATAATGATTGGGGATAGATAATACGGGAGAGAAGGATTAGGAATAGAGAATACGGGAGAGATAAGGATTAGGGATAAAGAATACGGGAGAGAATTTAAAACAATAGTAGTATAAATATACAACAGTAAGAAAAAGGTAAAATATGGTGCTACAATCACCTGTGTGGATCACTCTAAACACACGAAGTGCACAATGTGGAATAAAATAGTGAACACACTCAAACAATAATAAAACTGACCACTCTCCTCCACTCCACTCATCAAAGGGACGCATTGCGAAACAGGGCTTTCTTTGCAATACATGGAAACAAAAGCGGAAAGCTTCTAGCGCGCATGCTGGCCAAAAGACGACAAGACACGTATATATAGACAGGATCCGCGACAAGGCAGGGGTCCTACACAGACATCCGGCCAAGATTCAGGAAATCATTCGCACATATTACGCGGAACTCTACTCCCTTCCACGCCCACACACAGACGCACAGTCACGATCACTACAGACCTCAATAGAGACTACCTAAAGACCCATAGGCTCCCCTCCCTGGAGGCCGACACGGCAGATCAACTAGACGAACCAATATCCATGGGGGAACTAGCACTCGCAATCAAATCCATGAAACCGGGTAGGAGCCCAGGTCCCGATGGCCTGCCCCTCAAATATTATAAAAGCTATGCCCAGACCCTGTATCCCCCACTACTGGCCATGTTCAACGCCATCAGAGAGGGACATGAATTACCTGCACAGGCACTCATGACCCACATCACCATAATTCCGAAAGAGGGCACTGCGGGAGCTTCCGGCCCATCTCCCTCATAAACAATGACATCAAACTACTGGCAAAGGTCCTGGCGGCCCGGCTCCAGGTGCACGTGCCCTCTCTGGTTCATGCGGACCAGGTGGGGTTTGTGATGGGTCGGGAAGCCAGGGACGACACCATCAGGGCCCTCACGATTATGCACAGAAAATCAGGGGAAGACACAGGCCTTCTCCTGCTGTCCACGGACGCGGAGAAGGCCTTTGACAGGGTCTGCTGGGCGTATATGTTCCAGACGTTGTCACACATGGGTATGGGACCATACCTGCGAGGATGGATTAAGGCCCTATACACTCACCCGACGGCGCATGTCCTGGTCAACGGGGCACCCACAGAGGCGTTCCCGATATACAACGGTACGCGACAGGGGTGTCCCCTGTCCCCACTGCTATTCGTTCTGGCTTTAGAACCCCTACTAACCACAATCCGACACCACCCGGACATCAAGGGGGTACACATAGGAGACACACAACATAAACTAGCCGCTTATGCGGATGACCTACTATTCTTCATAACCCACCCGGAAGTCTCCCTCCCCAATTTAATGCAGGAGTTCCAGGCCTTTGGAGGGTTTTCGGGGTACAAGATTAACTTCTCAAAGTCCTATATCTTAAACGTAAGCATACCCGCAAGGAGATCTGCACAGCTCCGACGGAGTTTTGCGTTCCAATGGGCCACGGACAAAATCCGATACCTCGGCACTTGGCTGACCGTTAAGGAATCGGAGCTATTCACAGCGAATTTCGCCCCGATACTAGCTAAGTTCCGTACAGACATGAGGGAACGGGCCCTCCCGCACATCTCCTGGCTGGGTAGAATTCAAGTAATAAAAATGAATTTTCTACCGAGACTACTTTACCTCTTCCAGGCCCTGCCCATCACAATCCCATCCTCGTTCTTCGCCACACTTCGACAGGCTTTAGGAGCTTTTGTTTGGGATGGGAGGAGACCCAGACTGAAATACACACTGCTAACTCAACCCAAGCACAGAGGGGGTCTGGCTCTACCGGACTTCCGACTATACTACAAGGCATGCCACCTGCAACGTGTTGCGGAGTGGTCCAAGACTGGGGTCAGCAAACTATGGAAACAGGTAGAGGAGGGGGTAGCTAAGCTCCCAGCCGCCCTTATCCCGTGGCTCCCTGTAGGGACGGACGGAAGGGAAACGCACTACTCCACATATACGAAAACGACTCTGAAGATATGGCGAGGCAATGCCGGTAGACACACGCTCTCCACACACCCGTCCCCATTACTTCCCCTCACACATAATCCTGACTTCCCGCCGGGCACGGACCCTTCCGCTACGCACAGCTGGCGAGCTATGTAAAGACCCTGCCCCGCGCAGGAGCCCTCACTAGGGAACTCACCGCTTACGAGCAACTATGCGCAGACCCTGACCCACTGCCACATGGCATCTCGCACCTCTACGCCCTCCTACAAACGCTCACACCCATGGCCGCGCCACGCTTTATGGGGAAATGGGAGGAGGCCCTTAATCACACATTTAGTGGGGCTGATTGGGAAAAGATTTGTGAGGTCACCCACCACTGCTCCATTTTCAGCAAGAGTCAGGAGACAGCATATAAGATACTCACGCAATGGTATTGTACCCCAGACACGACTCAATACACGCATGCTCATGGGTCAAGCCTATGCTGGCGGTGCGCCAAGGCAACGGGCACGCCCCTACACATTTGGTGGGCATGTGAACTCGTACAACCATTCTTGAGGAAAATCAATAAAATAGCCTCCCGCTTCACTGACAACCCACCACCACTAGATCCGGCAGCAATGCTGCTCCACCACACGACCATACCGATTTCTAAATACAAAAAGTCCCTTACAATTCGAATTCTAAACATGGCTAAGCAAACTATACCACAATACTGGAAGAAAAAAAAAGAGACCCCTTCCATACTTAAATGGTTCACCCACATGGAAGAACTACGAGCGGTAGAAGAGCTCGCCATGTTAGCTACTGAAAAACAACATCAGACATACTTAGACATCTGGACCCACTGGATATTGACCACGACGAAACAAGACTTTCTGCTCCATACCTAATGACAGGGAGCTACACAGGCTGGATAGGCACATGGACGACAGACAGACCCTCCTCCTCCTTCCTTACCCCTCCCCTCTCATATATTAAAACTAGGGACACCACCCAACTGTCGCACAGGTTAAACAGACATTGGAAACACACTCCCCAGTACTCATATCCCCCTCCGAAACAGGACTCCTGCCCACTATATCACTACAGTCCGTCGATAACTAAGGTCCTCACTAGACATGACCTTATAAGAACACGTAACGACCGGACCGTGCTTGTCCCTCCCGCACGCACAGATAATACAACCATGCACACCTGAATACTAGGGGGGCAACAGCGGGGAGAGCATCAGACAGTATAGAGGTAGACAATTGGAGGGACCATGCCCGGCCTGAAGGGCTAGCAGACTGGCTGAAGGTGGATATTCAGCTTCAAACAGCAAGGGAACACGTGATTCCTGAGAACAACCTGGGAGGGGGGTTCACCCACATAAGCTTTAATGTTGACACAAGGGACCTGCGAGTCCGACTTTGTTGTTGGGCCTGCGTGCCCGCCTGTTGATTGTTTTCTTTACGTTGACTACAAAATACAGACCTGCGAGTCTGCATGATACTCCCCTTTTACTCCCAAATACAGGAAATAAAAATCATATTTACAAAAAATATTAGCCCCTCTAAAAGATAATTTTCAGTCTATTTCCTAAAAATTTGTTAATATAACGATCTTCTAAAATATGCCAATTTTTCTAAATAATTTTGCGCAGCTTATTATTGTTGAAACAAAATTTTAAAATCTAAGGAATTTGTTTTTCTTCCTATTTGTTTTTTTAGTTTTATATTTTAATAGGGGTTCTGTTGGTTCCTTTTCAATTTGTTCACATATTTCTTGTAATGAGTTGGAATTATATTCTTTCTCCATAAATTGAGTTTTTAAAACCTTTGACTTACACTTGTATTGTTCTATTTCTGGACAAGTCCCTCTTAACCTTAGGAACTGGCCTTTTAGGTACGTTGGCCAGCCAAAGCTTAAAATGGCAACTATTAAAATCTATAAAACTGTTGACGTCTACTTGCTTAAAAAAAAAAATAAAAAAAATCTTTATTTGATTCAACATATATATATGTAAAAAGTTGACTTTCAGTGGACTGGTCTCATGATCTGATCTCAAGTCAATTTAATATTCCAGTTATTTATATTTAGACTGTTAATAAAATTTAAAAGAGATTCCTCAGTCCCCTTCCATATAATAAAAATATCATCTATGTAGCGTTTGTAGAGGACCAGACTTGTCCCAATGTCCTCCCTGGAGAAGACATGAGGGACATGAAAAGATTTGCAGAGCTTGGGGCAAATCTGGTCCCCATCGCAGTTCCCTTTATTTGCAAATAAAACTTGTAAAAAAAAAAAAAAAAAAAAATTTTATAATAATAATAATAATAATAATAATAATAATAATATATAATCCGAATTCCTTTTTATGCATGTTTCCCCAGCTCTTAAAAACATCTAATATTAAATTTATATGTGTGTTTTATTTCTCTGCTTATTACACATCTTATCTTTCTTTCATGTCCCCCTTTTCCCTTTTTAAAGTTGCATTATGTTTTTGGAGATCAATTCTACCTTTTGATTATCTACCCATATATAAATATTGATACAAGTATTAGTATGTTGCCTTCCTTTGTATTTAATTACTGTCAAGAACGGACTTACAAATATGGCAGCTTGATAATTTCTGGATCCCGCATCATCATGCCGATACCGTCAAGACGCAAGGATGCACGAAACTGGAAGCGTCGGATGATGAAGAAAGCAGAAACAGACACAGAAATTCACCAGGAAAAGGCGCCAAAACTACATTTATAAACGAGATCATAAAGGAGAACAGAACTAACCACTTTTGAGAAAGGCTATTAGCCGAAACACGTCAAGTTGCATGTGGACTTTCCTTGTTTCTAAATGTATTAGCTTTTAATGTTAATCCAATAAAATCGTGTTTTTTGCTATGCATCTCCTGCATTTTATGTGGTGGAGTATCGAGAACACAAATTGGAAGCCTCCAGTTTACAACAAGGATCCACTGTACCCACAGCTTAAAGCTTCATGTCTGAGCCAGCCTTTTAAGTGGCTCAGCAGCATGTGAGTTGGACCAGTAATCTGTTTCTTTACACGAGTGTGGGACTGTATTACCTATGGTCTTTCTTTTTATTTATATTTTAGGATTGTTTCCACCTACGTTTGTGTTAACTTTTATTATTGTTTGAGTGCTTTCCCTATTTTACTTCACATTTTATGGGAGAGAATGATTGGGGATAGAGACTATGGGAGAGATAATGATTTGAAAGTATAGTAGGATGGCTAAATGAGAAACCATATTGAGTTAGAGTGGAAATAGATAAGACAAAAACAGCATACTGTATTGTAATTAAAGGATTACTAACTGAACACATAGCCAATGCATTTTTCCTCTAATTAACGATAAGCAAAGGTTGTTGGGAAGGGACTGCTTTATCATTACCTTCTTGTCCTCCGTGAAGTCTCTCTGTAAATGCCACCTCAGCAGTCTCTCCATTATTCCCTCAGATGCCATGTACCCCAGAATTGGCCCTGGGCTCTCTCCTTCCCGGGGCCGTTCCTCTGCTAGGAGGCTTAGCATCTGATACGTATTGTTCTTTACACAACTCAGGTCATCTGGGGTCACGGGCTCTGTAGAGTGGCCATGACGTTCCAAGATCTGAAGTATCTGAAAAATAAACAAATTGTCTACACTGTTGCTTCCCAAGAGTTGCTCCCCTTTAATGCCTCCACTGGAAGGCAATTCCACATAGATACTACTTTTTCAAAAACCCCAGAAAGGCTTTACTGGTTCAACTGGAAGGCTATTCCAGGTATCTACTACCCGTTCTGTACATTAGAAACTTGAGGTTTAGGATTATGTGCTTAAGTCTGTCAATGTCAGTTGCTCGTCACACAATAAGTAATTTAAGCATGTTAATTAAACTCAATTATTTTCACGATATAGGACGGTCCAGTAAGGCCATGTCACTCCCTTCCAGTGATGTCATTGAGGATGTGTATCATGCGGAGGACACAGCCCACTAACATCTGAGGACAGGAGTAGTGAGCATCAAGGGATGGAGAGAAAAATGAAACTGGCAAATCTATGCAAATCTTTCGATATATCCTAATCAACAGGGAGAAACATTGAGGTTTGTTAAAATCCTACTTTTGTATTGCTAGATATGAGCTGGTCTGGAGGAATTCTTGTTTCTGATATGTTATTGTCTATATGTGATGTGAGTGCGGTAAATGTAATTCTGGGGCTCAGTGCTAGCAGAGCTTTAGACAGTTTTTTCACGGTATGCTAATGTGTTGCTGTGAATATTATGTATGTGGGTTTTTATTGAGTTATATTGTTTATTTAACATTTTTTGAAAGCCGTGCAAAGCCTCCTGTGAGTTGACACCAGAATCAAGTTCATACAAATCTAAGTAATGTTTGCATGTAAACAGGAATATTAGTCCACAGTGACTCCTGCTAAATGTTTTAGGGTTAATACATACAGTGGGTTGAGCTCTCTGCCGACTACCTCTCATGATGTTAATGAGTGGGAAGCAAATCTTGAGTTTGGTACAGACACCTCAGCCAGAGGGAGAAAACCAGTGGACATGGCCACTACCTCACTCACCTGGGACCAGTGATTCTTGAAAACCATAAGGCAGGTCTCTGGGTCAGCAGTGACCTGTGGCTGGAGGTTGGCATTTCGACCTGATTTGTTGCTGGACCCCCGAGGATTCAGCTTACTGAGCCAGCTCATTGCAGTCTCGTGGTGTGGAGTTTGGTGTTGGATTTAGAGGGACAGGGATGAGAGAAAGTCTGGATGCATGAGGTCTGGGACAGGAGAACCAGTAATTGACATGATAGGTCATCCAGTCTGGAAGGCCGGCTGCCCCATGTGCTTGTCCAGGTTTCTGGAGGGAGAGGGAAATACTTCAATATTAATCCCAAACTTATTACTCTTCTCAAATAACCCAAGATATATTTATGTTTCTCTTATATTCAGGTACACGCATATAGCTACATCTAGTGCAATATCAGCATCCATAAAAAAAAAAAAAAAAAACAAGATAAAGAATGACTATTTAGTAGATATACTCCCAATGAAAACATATATGCATTTAATTACATATTTTTTCATTGGGGTTATATCTAAAAACATCTTGTAATAGCTGCAGATCTCTTGTCTGCAGCCTCTGCAAACCCTCATCTTCTAGTCCAATCACAGACTTCAAATGCAGCTCAATGAGAAGTCTTTGCAAGGCAGGTGCTCTGGGCAATTGCTGCCTCTTGAGTTTATCTCCACTGAGCTAACCAAACCAGGAAGTAACAGGACCGGTGTCTGATTTTATAATCTGCAATATTTATAAAAATAAGGACACCAAAAAAAAAATTCAAGCTGAAACACTGCACATTCATACTCCTACCACCATGACCACATCAAATCACTAAAGTGGTCATGGTGGTTGGAGTAATACCTTAAAGGATCACTACAGGGTCAGGAACACAAACGTATTCCTGACCCAATAGTATTAAAACCACCATAGAGCCATGATGCCTCCCTAAAAATAGTAAAATCTTACTTGTAGTCAAGCCTGAAGCTGTAGCTCTGCATGCTGTTTCCCTCAGAAAAACAAGCAGTTTGCTGACATCATTAGAAGTGGTGGCCTGATCCAATCACAATGCTTCCCCATAGGATTGGCTGAGACTGACAAAGAGACAGATCAGGGGCAGAGCCAGCATGATTCAAACACAGCCCTGGCCAATCAGCATCTCCTTATATAGATGAATTGAATCAATGTATCTCTATGAGGAAAGTTCAGTGTCTGCATGCAGAGGGAGGAGATACTGAATGTTTGGATGCATTTTAGGCGGCCATGACCCAGGAAGGATCTCTAACAGCCATCTGAGGAGTGGCCAGTGAAGTTATCACTAGGCTGTAATGTAAATACTGCATTTTCTCTGAAAAGACCGTGTTTACAGCAAAAGGCCTGAAGGTAATGATTCCACTCACCAGAACAAATTCAATAAGCTGTAGTTGCTATGGTGACTATAGTGTCCCTTTAATATTACAGTGCACTCCAGTTAATTGGAGTGGACCAAAGACTTTGAGATCTGTTATATGTCCATCCATTCTCGTTTAATGCAGTTTTTTCGAATGATGGGGTTTAAGTGAATTGTAAACGATTGGATCCTTGATATTACACACTATTTTTATGCAATATTTTCCCTCTTGGTTTTAGACTGAGATTAGGGGCATTTTAATATTACAGTATCGGTCTTGTAGTATTGTGTAAACCAAACACTACGTTTCGTTTATCAAGTGGGATCCTTTATATTATACAACCTACAGTTTTAGAATTTATTGCCTTTTCTCATATTATTATTATTCCTGCACTGCAAATTAGATTCATGTGGCACCCAGACTCACCCATGCTAACATACGGGCGTATTAATCTATTCCATGCAGTATTTCCCATATCGAGTGATGGCTTTATGTCGCTATTTGCTGGCATTGACCACAAGGTTGCAGTTTAGCTATTTCCAGCCACATTATTTTCCTTTTTTGTCTAAGGTCAGGACTCTGATACATTAGAATCCAGATAGAAGTAGAATGTCTATTTATACTATTAATACATTTTAAACTAGATGTGTTAAATCGTGTCATACATAGAAATGTCATTAGGTTTGCACTTATATATCCCAGTATACGTAATAATTAAATGATTTGTTTTACTTAATGTATTTTTCCCCTCTACCATTTTCCTTTTTTTTTTACCTAGTACAATACTTTAGGGGTTACACTAATTAAAACAGTGGCGAAGATCTCAATCATAGTATATGTGAGCAATTTTCATATAACAGTGGAACAGTTAAAAATAAGGCCCAATACTGACTGCACACTGGGGACGGACCACATCAACAAGGCCCAATACTGACTGCACACCGGGGACGGGCCACATCAACAAGGCCCAATACTGACTGCACACTGGGGACGGGCCACATCAGCAAGGCCCAATACTGACTGCACACGGGGGACGGGCCACATCAACAAGGCCCAATACTGACTGCACACTGGGGACGGGCCACATCAACAAGGCCCAATACTGACTGCACACGGGGGACGGGCCACATCAACAAGGCCCAATACTGACTGCACACGGGGGACGGGCCACATCAGCAAGGCCCAATACTGACTGCACACGGGGGACGGGCCACATCAGCAAGGCCCAATACTGACTGCACACTGGGGACGGGCCACATCAGCAAGGCCCAATACTGACTGCACACCGGGGACGGGCCACATCAACAAGGCCCAATACTGATTGCACACTGGGACGACCACATCAACAAGGCCCAATACTGACTGCACACGGGGACGGGCCACATCAACAAGGCCCAATACTGACTGCACACGGGGACCCACATCAACAAGGCCCAATACTGACTGCACACGGGGGACGGGCCACATCAACAAGGCCCAATACTGACTGCACACTGGGGACGGGCCACATCAGCAAGGCCCAATACTGACTGCACACTGGGGACGGGCCACATCAGCAAGGCCCAATACTGACTGCACACTGGGGACGGGCCACATCAGCAAGGCCCAATACTGACTGCACACTGGGGACGGGCCACATCAACAAGGCCCAGTACTGACTGCACACTGGGGACGGGCCACATCAACAAGGCCCAATACTGACTGCACACTGGGGACGGGCCACATCAACAAGGCCCAATACTGATTGCACACTGGGGACGGGCCACATCAACAAGGCCCAATACTGACTGCACACTGGGGACGGGCCACATCAACAAGGCCCAATACTGACTGCACACAGGGGATGGGCCATATTGATTTTTATTTATTTTTTTAGAGCAGATACCGATAATCTGTGAACTTTAAGGCCGATATCTGATGACTTACCAATATTCTGTACATTCACCATTTTGAAAAAAAATATACGATTTCTAAAAGGTCAATGCACAAAATATACATGCCACATGTAGTGGATGCAGTGTGTTTAGACAGGGGAGCTGTGTGTGCATAAAGTGAATGCAGTGTGTGTATAGTTATTGCAGAGTGTGTATGTGTTTCTGATGGGATGTAATTTGTGTAAAATGGGAGGAAGGGGGGCATTTTGTCATTTTATTTTTAATATTTATGTGTTTTATTTATTTTTTTGTCCCCCACTCCCTGCTTGTTACCTGGCCAGGGAAGGGGGCTTTAGCATTCCCTGATGGTCCAGTGGCATGTACTGAGCAGTGGGGGCCGGCAGCAAGCTGTTACCTTTCCAGCAGCTCCCTTCAGTTCCCTGTGTAATGGACTGCACACGGGGGACGGGCCACATCAACAAGGCCCAATACTGACTGCACACGGGGGACGGGCCATATTGATTTTTTTTATTTATTTATTTTTTTAGAGCAGATACCAATAATCTGTGAAATTTAAGGCCGATATGTGATAACTTACCGATATTCTGTACATTCACCATTTTGAAAAAATATACGATTTCTAAAAAGGTAAATGCACAAAATATACATGCCACATGTAGTGGATGCAGTGTGTTTAGACAGGGGAGCTGTGTGTGTGTGTGTGTGTGTGTGTGTGTGTATATATAAAGTGAATGCAGTGTGTGTGTGTAGTGGTCTGTGTGCCGCGCGGAGCGCTGCCATGGTAACGTGAGATTTACACAGGGAGCGGAAGGGAGCTGCTGGGAAGGTAAGTAACAGCTTGCTGCCAGCCCCCCAGGACCGCCGGGCTTGTAATGGGTCCTGCGGTCCTGTTATGTATTATCAGTAATATCCGTATCTTTATTGGCCGATAATATTGGTAAAACCGATAATCGGTCGATCCCTATAATTGAGTCAAGTCCTGTATGTAACTCAATTATGTCCGGGCAGTAAAAACACAACAAATGAGTACAGTATGAAAAGTACCCCAAAACACAACATATCCCAATAAATGTCACATCCCCCAATGGTCACGGTGAAGAAATCCCTCTTTGTGTTCAGTATTTCTCCACTTTTCATTTGGTAGATGTAACTACCGAACAGAGACCACCCCCCTGGCTCGTTAACTTCAAAGCATGCCTCAATTGAACCCTCTACCTGTGCCTTTTTTTCCTGTGCGGACGAAGGCAGCGGGACTTGGTCATTGAGTGTCTGGAACTAAAAATCGGAACACTCAACTTCCCGAACACTGGATCTTTATTTCACGAACAGCTAGAGGAACGCTGTTTGGTACTTGTGTTCATTTTTAATGAGGGGAACAATCGCTGCTAAGAGCTGGGGGAACCGTTCGTGGAATTATTCAGTTTTTGCAACTTTACGAACTAAACCGGCAAAACCACCCAAACTCGTGGAATTGTTTTGGGCAGTAACCTCACGGTTAGCCAGTCAAGAAAGACTTCCATACTTTTTGAAAACCCCTGAACCGATCTGGGTTTAAATTTGAATATGTTGATCAGGGGACATATTTGTGGAGATACAATGTGTATAAAGGGGTGTTCTAAATATTGGGTAAAACGGTACTTTTTCTATAAATCAAGTCTGATAAAGTAATAACTGAATTATCTCCTGGACTAGGGGAGGGAATTGTAGGTTTGTGCTGGGAGTGTTTTATGTTTTCCCTGTTAATGATTGGATGTACCATGTCCCTCCCTGTGGGACGTCCCCTTGCATGGGGACTTGCATAAAAGCCAGTGTGGCATAATTAAAGCTCAGTTCTGTTGCACCCATCTTCTAGACTCCGGCTGATGTTTGGGTATTCGTATGCTTTACTAAGGGAATTGTCTGGTAAAGTTATTGCATCCGTATGGGAATCATTTATTTTATCTGCCGAACGGAGAGTTATAGTCTCTGATGCTCTGACTGTTCGGAAGGAAACTACCGAATGAGTATTGGATATACTAGGTTTCCTTACAGTCACCCAGATCAGGGCTACCAACATATTCTGAAGTCACCCAGATCAGAGGAGGGGGTTCAGGAAATTCCTTGAAGTCTTTCTGACCGACCGCACGGTTTCATGCCAAAAACAGTTCAAGAGAATTAGACTGTGCGGCCGGTCTATTTCAAACTGTTGAAATACCATTCGAATTACCGAACGTAACGGTTGATGAACATAGTCAGTGTGTGTGTCCCTTGTTCGTGGGCTCCCATCCACCGAACGCCGTTTGACTCATGTTCGAATAGCCGTGTTCCATGGAAGGTAACTGTTCAGGGGTGTTCCTGCCGTTGCGTATCTGATTAGAATTCCATGAACTCAACGACAAAACAAAATGGCCACCACCACGTGTTAAACTTTATGAACGTCGGCCACCCAGTGTTTCGTCAATTTGGCTGCGGTTAACTACCAGCCTGGGAAGTAAATAGGCTGCACACTCCACTTGTGTGTGGTCCGACTGTTCGTTTTTTTTTGTTCGGTAAACAAACATCATAAGCATAATACATTCGGTAGCCCCATCTACTGATCCGTAGAAGGGAAAAGGAATGAACAAAGCCTTTCCACAGTCCTGAAGCCAGGTCTAACACATGGGCCATAGTCCTGGGGCAAGAGGCTGGTAAGCAGGCCCCTCCAAGTACCAGTGGCGAGGTTACTGTCGCCACAGCGGCCAAGGCCTAATACTGACTGCACACGGGGGGGCAGCCATATCAAGGCCCAACATGGACTGCACACGGGAGGAGGCCATATAAACAAGGCCCAATACTGACAGAACACGGGGCAGCCACATCACTAAGGCCCAATACGGACTGACAGGAGGGGCAGCCATATAAACAAGGCCCAGTACTGACTGTACAAGGGGGGTGGGGGGGGAGGGGGCATATCAACAAGGCCCAATACAGACTGTACACGGGGGGCAGCCATATTGACAAGGCCCAGTACTGACTGACATGAGAACCAGGCAATATTGACAAGGTCGAGACCAGCAGTGTATAGGATGTATACACATAGGTATATATAATATCCCCAGCTAGTGATCAGGGAATGGGAGGTATATATAATATCCCCAGCTAGTGATCAGGGAATGGGAGGTATACACAGAGATATATAATATACCCAGCTAGTGATTAGGGAATGGGGGGTATATACGCAGAGGTATATATAATATCCCCAGCTAGTGATCAGGGAATGGGGGGTATATACGCAGAGGTATATATAATATCCCCAGCTAGTGATCAGGGAATGGGGGGTATATACGCAGAGGTATATATAATATCCCCAGCTAGTGATCAGGGAATGGGGGGTATATACGCAGAGGTATATATAATATCCCCAGCTAGTGATCAGGGAATGGGGGGTATATACACAGAAGTATATATGATATACCCAGCGAGTGATCAGGGAATGGGGGGTATACACAGAAGTATATATGATATACCCAGCGAGTGATCAGGGAATGGGGGGTATACACAGAAGTATATATGATATACCCAGCGAGTGATCAGGGAATGGGGGGTATACACAGAAGTATATATATGATATACCCAGTTAGTGATCAGGGAATGGGGTGTATACACCGAGGAATATATAATATACCCAGTTAGTGATCAGGGAATGGGGGATATACACAGCGAGTGATCAGGGAATGGGGGATATACACCGAGGGGGATGGTGTATATATATATATATATATAAATAAATAATATACCCAGCTAGTGATCAGGGAATGGGGGATATACACCGAGGTATATATATAATATACCCAGCTAGTGATCAGGGAATGGGGGGCCTTTATTCAAGTATAGCTAATGATAAAACGATACGTATACAGATTATTTGTAATATTTCATTGATTGAGATCCCCTGTATCAAGCCGGCGGTGATACAATAAGCAGACAGTAAGTATGAGGCCCTCGTAAAGATACCTCCTTTATGCAGGTAAGCAAGGCGTGTCAGCCAATACATTCCTTTCCGGATTATACACGCAGCCTTTGTAAAACACGACAATTCAATTACAGCTTGAAAATAGACCAAATGGGTTCTGCAAGCTGCAAATCTTTTCCTTTACTTATTACTGACTTGGCAAGCCGTGCGTTACGATGGAACAGTAAATCGACCTGCACCCAGTTTAATTTAAACTAAACAGACCCCTCACTGCTAAACACTACACCAAGAGCCCCCACTGACCTGGCTCTCTGCTTGAGAGTCAATGCCTCTCTAAACCCCCTCCCCCCTTGCCCGAGCTAAACTCTTCTGCCCCACCACTGCTTCCCAAGCAGATACCCCCACCCCCATAGTAGTGTGAGATTCTACACAAATAGAGCACACAGACCTAATAAGCCGTGGGAGCTGTAACCACCCACCCCCGATCTTTCACAATGTATGGCGTACAGGTAACAAAGGTGGACAGAACAGTCTGTTTACTATATCAAAACTAGAGCAGAAATTAGTCTACCTGCCTTACCAACACGTTCGTTTCCTCGAATGAACCCTCCCTGTTATCAATGGTTCAACGTATGAACTTCCTGATTGAAAATACGGAACAATTCTCTATTCAAAGGTCTCTCTGACATGACCTTCGTACTACACAGAGTGTCAACACTCCGGCTCTCCCTATAAAGAGCGTCAACACTCAGGCTCTCTCCATACAGGACGCCGGCATAACAGAGCACTAGTCCTAGCAGGGACTCTCTTCCGCTGGTCACACCAAAATACACTCAGGAAAAAGTAAAGTAATCCAAGAATCCCCCACCGCACCCCCAGCAACTAGACAACACTCAGTTCTGGGGGTATAACTGAAGTTTGACACATACACTGCTTTTATGCCCAGTCCCGTGCAAGGGGTTTCAATTGTACTAACTCCTCTAATTTAAATTCTCTCATGCAAAAAAAAATAAAAAAAAAATTCACAAAATATCGTGTACCCCAAAAGGCCCCCAACCATACCTGGGAACCCCACAAAAAACCCATTCCCTGATATCCAAGAATCACTCAGATCGGTTGGGCAGAACAGGAATGCCATTGTGTGGAAGTTTTGACCGTCCAGACACTAGTCCAAAATAGTTGCAGGGAAATAGGTGTCCCCCTGTTGGGTAGTTTATATCTCCCGAATGCCATTTGAGTAGGTGGTCGGGAACAGGAAAGGACAGCGGTAGACAGTTTGCCTAACCAAAAATAGTTCAAGGCACTCGACGACCAAGTATCTCTGCCCTCCTTCGGGAGACAAGATGGCTCTCTTGGCCATGTGTTCGGTTATACGAAATAGCGGCCATCCAGGGGAATCACTCATTGTTTCCCTTGCGGTTTCGCACTGTTGGTGGCTGGTGTTAAGGTTCTAATGGGGTACAGGGGTACAGCCAAAGAAGAACCACACGAAATAAAGGGGGGGGATATGGACAGCCAATATAGGGGATAAAAAGTAGCATGCAAATGTCTATTCCGCTACAGCCGGTCCTCCACAAAAAGAACTAGCAAGAGAAAAGGGGGCACAAGCCATGAATAGATCAGCAAGAGCCAGCGCAAGAAATAAGCAGGCCTGGAGTGGAGGGGAAATCACAAGCCATAAGTAGACCAGAAGGGATGGGCGAGGAAGAGGGTGGTTCACCAAGCCAAAAGGAGGCCAGCAGGAGGAGAACCAAGCCACGAGGTGTTACAAATACCCTCTGTCTGCCACTTTGTTGCAATAGGTCTGTGTCTTTTCTTCTAAATAAACCACGAAAGCAATTCACCAGGTCATTCGTAGGAACGAATGACCGACCACCCAGCATATGGAGTGTGCCGTCTATTAATCGCCCAGAAGCTGTGGTTTGCCTTGTTGATCTTTTTCACCTCCCAATCACATATTGAGCGTTTAGATCAAAGCTATCTGGGGATATGTTGAACATAGGGGTTGAATATTGTAGAATATGAGTTATGTATTTTTATGTGGTTTTTGTTACAGTTTCAAGTTAAGAATATTTTCTGTACCTGGAGATAAGTAAGTTACGACGGTCACTTAAGCCAATTATCTCCAGGACAGAGGGGAGGGTTCAGGAAGATGCACTTTGTTATAATTGGTTTATGTTCCTTGTGTCCCTCCGTTACATCAGGTCCAGAGAGGTGTTCCCCTGGCCTGAAAAAGTGTATAAAAGAAATGCAAGCTGCTCAATAAACCAGTCTTCTTACCCTCAACTCGCAGCCTCAACTCGTGTTGTAGGGAATTGCTAATCACCAACTCTGCTCAGAGCTCCGGGAATAATCTCCACTTCCAGGAATATGGATAGGTGCTGAATTGGAACTTTTTACCGCTCTCCAAGCTCGGGGAAGGGGACTTCAAGGCAGTCCAACCCTCACCTAGCCTGGGGCATACATAACATGATGAGACCAGCAGGAGGAGAACCAAGCCACGAGGAGACCAGCAGGAGGAGAACCAATCCACTATTGGTTGTATTTATTAGATACCACAATAGGTGAAAGATTCAAAAGAATCAGCAAACGAATCACTAAATGACTGGATTTTTAATATGAATGTAAACCCATATATTCATCTTACAGGCATTTGACTGTGGGATTTTTTTAAGTTTGCTAAAATAAAACAAAAAGGTGCAGGACTGCTTAAACTGAGATTTCGATGTGATCTATTACAAGGCCGCAAAGGAGCAGAAGTCTGGATCGAATCCGCTAGATACACCCGGAATTTAATGCCAGCGAGCGAGTTACTGCAAGTCACACAATCTGAGCTGGGATTGGTTTAGCACGTGGACCTGAATGGGAGCAGGAAACAATGAGTGGAAATAAACAAACCACACCACAGTGAGCCCAGGGCCACCTCCCAGGATAGGCTGGCTAATGGCTCAGGAATGCAAAACATGGCTTCCTGTGAGCTCAAACACATACCATAACCTCCTCTGCTACTACTACTGCCACTGCCACTGAAATGCAATACCGATTCCAACATATACACCATAACTTCCTCTACTACTACAATGCGATCAATTCCACCGGGTGTCATCACAATGCTCCTCGTCTATCTACACCACCGAGCGTCATCACAGCACTCCCCGTCTATCTACACCACCGAGCGTCATCACAGCACTCCCCGTCTATCTACTCCACCGAGCGTCATCACAGCACTCCCCGTCTATCTACTCCACCGAGCGTCATCTCAGCGCTCCCAGGCTATCTATTCCACAGATGTTCATCCCAGATCTATAGGATATTCCATTCCTTACAGCCACAGTGCTGGCAAAGCATCATAGGAGGTGTAATCCATAAGAACCGGAGTGCCCACCTCTAGGGTTTGTAAATCACAACTTAAAAAAAAAAAAAAAAATAAAAAAAAACGCACTTTCACCACACACCCACAGAACGCATTTGGATCTTTCCAGAAATATTTAGCCACCAGCAGTGCCGATAACCGTCTTCCTATAGCCAAGCAGCTTCATTCACATCACAGCTTCTCAGGCAGTCTTAGTTTCTAATACGAGGCCCAGTACCGGCCAATCAGACGCAGGCAATCCTTCGTCCCTGAATTGGGAGAATCTTTTAATGTATCGCTTTGTCAATGAATGTAGTTCCTTTTCATTATTATAAGGAATCAGATCAGATTATAGGAACATATCAATACAGTATTGGAAGGAACAGCGTGTGACAATAAAACCCCCAGATTCCATTACCAATATATATTGCCAAATAAGCCATTCCAAGCACATACCTCAGACACCCCATCACTAGATTATACCCCCCAAAACACCCCATTACTACTACTACTATATACCTCCAGACCAAATCGCAACACCCAATTATTGTTTAAATTCACACAAGAAACAATTACTAGTACATAGAGCCAAGCCGATCACAACCCAGACACCAGACACCCCATTACTACTACATACACCCATATGTATCCCAGCCTCCTCCCCATTGCTAGCACATAGCACAAACACCCAATACCGACACAAAGCACAGACACCACCCAATACGCACATAGCACAGGCACCCCTCCCCCCACCCCCGATACCCAGACATAGCACAGGCAACCCCCAATACAACATCCCAATACCAACATAAAGAACAGACCCCCCCATTACAGGCACACAGACCCCCCATTACAGGCTCTGACCCCCAGGCTAGGGCCCCTCTCACCTCCCA